AAAAAAAAAAAAATCCAAACCTAATAAGTGGACACTTTATGGTCTATTTTGGGAAATGAGAAAGAATAGTGCATTAGGTCCATTGTTTCATCAGGCTTTGCCTGAAATTTTGGTTGGATGAGGTAAACACCACTGATGAAATTTTAATATCATCAGTTTGCATGTTTTTAAAATTTGGTGTTCAATGTTTTTCGTTTTGTCTTCTAACAAGTATTTTGTATTTTGACTCTTAGACTTGAATTCTGTTGGGCAGTTTAGGAAACAATTTCATAATTTTCTTGGAAACTGATAGAATTCATTCACTAAACTGCCTTGTTTGGTAGATGTGATTGAATGTGTATCGTGGGGGGGGGCAGATACTACTACATCTTTTTGACTTGGATGGAGTAATTTATAGTTTTTATAGTTCTCTAGGAAATTGCTTTTGGCTATGGCTTTAAGTTGTTAGAACATAGTTGCATAAAGTTCTCTTAAAGAAATTTTCATAGTATTTGTGATCTTTATGAGCCTTTTCTTATTTTGAAGTCTGCATTTGTTAGCTTTCCCTTTTGGGGGCCTGATTTTTTTTTTTTTTTATAGACTGCATTTTGTTTTCTCATTCATATTTTTTGCTTTATTTAATTCTTTTGTGGTTTGTTTTCTTTTTGGTTATTTGTTTTCTTGACTGTTATTTTTTTGTCTTTTTGGTACCTGGGATTGAACCCGGGGCACTTAACTAACACTGAGCCACATCCTCAGCCCTTTTAAAATATGTTATTTAGAGAAAGGGTCTCATTGAGTTGCTTAGGGCCTTGCTAAGTTGCTGAGACTGGCTTTGAACTTGTAATCCTCCTGCCTCCACCTCCGGAGCTGCCAGGAGTACACGTGTTAAATCTTTATTGTATAGTAAAAGAAGCATTTAGGAGATGTTCTCCAAGGTTTATAGATTTTTGAAAAGTAGTATGTTCTTTATTGTTTCTTTTAATAGCTAAATTTTGGTTTTGATTTTGTTACACTGGAAGCTACTGTAATCATTGTAACAAAGAGACTGATTTAAGGATCCTCAAGTAAAAGGGAATTTGATTATACGGAAAATATGATTTTACCAGTAATAAAAACCAAGAATTGGACCTCCCACATTCTCTGAAATGGCTAGTGATTAAAAATTGCCATATCATTTGATGACTTTTGCGTGGTCACTCATTTGACATGTTGACTATGTTAGTCTTGTCTTTATTTTTTCTTATATATAAAAATGTACTATTTTAACATAGCTAAAATATGTAATAATAATATGATTTTTTTCAGTTTCCCTTGGTAGCCTCTCTGGTGCCCATATTATACATCACTGCAGATGGGATATTTGCAAAATAGTTGTATTGATTTTACCACTGTTTCTAACTTATTTCAGACTGTTTTTTTGTTTTTTCTAACTCATGTTTAAAGTTGAAGAGTAGTGTCAGGGAAATATTTTTATTCATTGATGACATGTAATTATTCTATTTTCCTGCTTAATGTGGGTTATTTTGTATGTGAATATGCCTTCATGAATGTAATGTTTCAATCACATAATGTTCCAGTTTTAACATTTTTGTAATTTTGTGTTTATAAAATATGGTAAAGAAACAGGGTTGATTATTATTATAAGTTTTAGTCTTAATTTACATTAGTTTTTTATTTAGAATTCAGATAATGTATCGTGTGTGTACACACATTCTGGTGATTGAACACTGAGCTTCTTGCGTGCTAAGCAGGCACAATGCCATTTTTTTTTAAATTTTAAAATATTTTTTAGTTTTTCGGCGGACACAACATCTTTGTTTGTATGTGGTGTTGAAGATCGAACCCAGGCTGCACGCAAACCAGGCGAGCGCGCTACCGCTTGAGCCACATCCCCAGCCCCAAGCACAATGCCATTGAACTACACCCCAGCCCTGTGTCTCATGCCATATTCCTCTGTAGAGTACATAGAAGTTGTTACTGAAGTATTGGAAATCATACTTTGAGAACATTTGAGAGATGGCAGAGTGTAGTAGAAAAAATTCACTTAAAAAAATAGATTAAAGTTAGTAGACATCAGAGATTAGTAGAGAATAGTAGCTGAAATCAGTTCTTGGTAGTATTCATAGCAGGTTAATTTCACCCCTCTATGGTTTTTAATGATCCTTCCTACTAAGCATACCCATTCACTGGAGGAAGAATTTGAAGCTTGGTTCAGAGATTATGTAAGTGCTAAATAAAGGAGAGGAGGTTTTTATTGTTGCTTTAGTTAATTTGGTTGCAATAGGGATTGAACCCAACATCTTGCACGACAGGCAAGTATTCTACCACTCAGCTACATCCCCAGACCTTTTTATTTTTGAGACATGGTCTTGTTAAATAGCTAAATGGCCTTGACAAACTTGAGTTCCTTCTGCTTTAGCCTCCCAAGTAGCGAGGATTACAGGTATATGCTGTTGTAATTAAATGGAAATTGAAGACCAGAGAAATGAAATGTCTTTCCCAAAGTCTTATTTTTTAAAGAGAGAGGAGGGGGGGGAGAGAGAGAACTTATTTATTTATTTATTTATTTAAGTTCTTAGCGGACACAACATCTTTGTTTGTATATGGTGCTGAGGATCGAACCCGGGCCGCACGCATGCCAGGCGAGCGCGCTACCGCTTGAGCCACATCCCCAGCCACATCAAAACCATTATCTTTGATTGTGTTTTTGGCATTACTTTATCTTTGCAGCATTTTGTAAATGCAGAGACTTTTCATCTGCTGTTCAGAATCATGTGACATTATAAATCTTTTCCTTTGTGTATGTAATCTCCAATTATTTGAGGGGATAAGACCCCAAGTTGTCCAGAAAACGAATACCAGGCTGCTTAGGTTTGAGCCTCACTGATTAGGATGCGTGGAGAAACCTCAAGTCACAGTAAGAAAAGGGTCTTCTGTGAGTAGGTTTCTGAAAGGATTTTGGTCAGCTCCAGGTCTTCCTCTCTCTCGCTAGATGGTGGATGTGTGATTTTGGTAAATCTGACCCATGTGGTTTACCTTTAAATTTAGAATCAACTAAAAAATCACAATAGCAGAATTCATGAGGCAGCAGGTGGTTAAAAGTATTCATTAGATTTTGTTGAATAAATAGAAGGTGAGATGTAAAACAGGAACTGCCTTTATTTTATACCCAAAAAGGTGGAGGGTAATCTTGTCCTTTAGTTGACTCTCCATTTTCAAAAGTATTTTTCTCATTTCAATATCCAGCTAGGATTTTTAATAATTTTGAAAGTTTGATTGCTAAATAAAATGGATATAATTTTTAGCTTTAATATTTTAAAATCAGTTTCTTATTATATTGTCTGTTCCCTAATATTTGAGTTGGGGTAAAATAAAAATTCATTGGGTTTTGGATCACAATTATATGACTTGATTTTATAAATTTACTAAGTAACCACATCTAATTTTTGGCTAGGTTAATTAGTGATAACTTTGTAACAACACAAATATTAGGCTTACTTTTGTAAAAGAACATTTCCATTGGTTATAGAATTCATAATAAAGCAAATGTGGATTTAATTAGTGCATAATCAAATAATGAAGAGGTTAATAGACACTAGTAGATTAGATTACCAGAATTAAGAGTTTAACAAGGTATAATTTAATGAAGTAATTTGAATCATTTTTATGGGAGATGGTTTTATGAATATTAGTGATTCTAAGTTGGTATGTGAAAAATGCTGATTACTAGCATGTGTCAATTGATAGAGGAAAAAATCAGATTTTATAGAATATTTTAGGTGGGATTTTTATGTTTGGAGATGACTATTGGCTTATCTTTTTTCTCTTTCTTTTTAGAATATGGTTTCTAGTTTTAGGGTTTCTGAACTACAAGTGTTACTAGGCTTTGCTGGACGGAATAAAAGTGGACGCAAACATGACCTCCTAATGAGGGCGCTGCATTTATTGAAGAGTGGCTGCAGCCCTGCGGTTCAGATTAAAATCCGAGAATTGTATAGACGTCGATATCCTCGGACTCTTGAAGGACTTTCTGATTTATCCACAATCAAATCATCGGTTTTTAATTTGGATGGTAGCTCATCACCTGTAGAACCTGACTTGGCTGTGGCTGGAATCCACTCATTGCCTTCCACTTCAGTTACACCTCACTCACCGTCCTCTCCTGTTGGTTCTGTGCTGCTTCAAGATACTAAGCCCACATTTGAGATGCAGCAACCATCTCCTCCGATTCCTCCTGTCCATCCTGATGTGCAGTTAAAAAACCTGCCCTTTTATGATGTCCTTGATGTTCTCATCAAGCCCACAAGTTTAGGTAAGTGTCTTTCTGGACAAGAAAGTAAACAAAACAAGAGGCCTTCAACTATTAATTAGTGGTTTGTTGTTAATATTACAAAATTGAGACATTAATGTCAAACGTTTAAATGTATGGGTAAAAAAAATATGGTAACATCGTATGATTACAAAATATATGGTAACTATAACTGAAATCTGACATAACTATTATTTTAGTGTTCTTGTTTCCCAATTTTTTTTTATTGTGATAAACTACATATAAAATCTACAGTCTTGACCATTTGTAAATGTACAGTTTAGTTGTATTAAGTACAATAGTAATCTTGTGCAGCTATCACCAGCAACCATATTCAGTACGCTTCAGTTTGTAAAACATAAAACTGTACTCATTAAATAATAACTCACCATTCCTCTTTTCCCCAGCTCTTGGCAGCCACCATTCTGCTTTTTTCTGTTTTTTTTGGGGGGGGGTGGGGGGGTTGGGGGATTGAACCAGAGCCTTATGCTGGCTAAGTACATGCTTTACCAGTAAGCTATACCCTGAACCCCAGCCATTCTACTTTATCTCTGATTTTGACTGGTCACTTTATATAAATGGATCCTGCAATATTTGTCTTCCTGTAACTAACTTATTTCATTTAATGTGTCCTCTGGGTTCTTCCATGTTGTAGTGTATGTCAGAATTTTCTTCCTTTTAAAGGCTAATACTATAACTTTTATTTTGTATTTTTTTGATACAGAGAATTGAACCCTGGGGCACTTAACCACTGAGCCACATTCCTAGTCCCCAGTCCTTTTCTTGGTGGGTGGTGGGTACCAGGGATTGAACACGGGGCACTAACCACCGAGCCAAATCCCCAGCCCTATTTTGTATTTTATTTAGAGATGGCATCTCACTGAGCTGTGTCACTTTTGCCATCGCTGAGGCTGGCTTTGAACTCGAGATCCTCCTGTCTCAGTTTCCCAAGCCACTGGAAACTACGGTACCTGGCTCCTATTTATTTTTTATTTTGAGACAGTTCTAAATGGCCTAGGACTTCACTAAATTGCTGTGAGGTTGATCTCAAACTTGGTATCCTCCTGCTTCAGCCTCTAGATTATAGGGATTATAGGTGCACACTACCACAACTGGCTACAGTACTATAACTTTTTAAATGCCCCACTTCATTACCTGCCACTCAGTCTTACTGCTTTGAGACGACTACTTTAGTTGATGTTGTAGTGTTCACTTCCATTACCACATTTTGATTATCCACTAATGGATACTTCAGTTGCTTGTAATTTTGAACTATTATGAATAATGCTTCTATGAATGTGAATTTACAAAAATAAAAATCTCTTTGAGACATTCCTTTGAATTGTCTGGTTATATACGCAAAAATAGAATTGCTATATCACATGATAATTCTTTAATTTTTTGAGGAAATTGCCACGCTATTTTTCACAGCAGCTGCACCATTTTATATTTCTACCACCAATGCACAGGGGTTTAGTCTACATCCTTGTTAACATTTCTTTTTCCTTTTTTTTTTTAAATAGTTGCCATCTTAAGCTGGCATCTTACATTTATTTGCATTTTTGTAATGATTATGATGTCAAGCTTCTTCATATGCTTATTTACCATTTGTAGTTTTTTGGAGAAATATCTTTTCAGGTCCTTTGCTCATTTTGAACTAGGTTGTTGTTTGTTTTTGAGTTTTAGGAGTTCTGTTTGTATTCTGGATATATACAGATATTAGATAAATGATTTGCAAATATTTTATCACATTCTGTGGATTACTGTTTTTTGTCTTTGATGCAAAATTTAAAGCATTTTCATGATGTTGAATTCATCTACTTTTTATTTTGTTGCCTATGCCTTTGATGTCAGATCCAAGAAATCATTGCCAAATCTCATGTCTTGAAGATTTTGCCTTATGTTTTTCTCTGAAGTTTTATACCTTTAGGTTTTACTGGGCTGATTCATTTTGAGTTAATTTTTATATGTAATATTAGGTAAGGTCCACTTACTTTCTTCTGTGTGTGTATATTCAGTTTTCCCAAAATAATTTGTTTAAGAGACTACCTTCTTCCCTCTCAATGAACTTGACAGACTTGTCAAAATTTTTGACCTAATGTAAAAAAGCTTTATTTTTATTTATTTATATTTTAGTTGTACCAGGTGTTAAACCCAGAGAGGCTTCATCACTGAGCTACATCCCCAACCCTTTTTATGTTGTTGTTTTTTTTTTAAATGGGCTCTCACTAAATTGCTCAGTCTGGCTTTGAATTTGTAATCTTTCTCACTCAGCCTCCCAAGTTGCTGGGATTACAGGTGTGTGCCACCAGGCTTGGCATCAGATGTTTTATTTCTGGGTTTTGTATTCCGTTGGTCCAAGTGTCTGTCTTCATGTCAATACTAAACTGTTTGTATTACTACAGCTTTACAGTAAGTTTTGAAATCATGAAGTGTGAGTTCTCTAACTTTGTGCTCTTTCAAGATTGCTTTGAGTATTCAGGGTTTCTTGATATGCTGAAAGCATTTTAGAACAGGTTTTTCTTTTTATGGAAAAATCTCACTGAGATTTTGAGATAGATTGCATTTGAATTGTGTTGGGTGGTATTGGAATCTTTATGATATTGTGTTCCAGTCCATGAATGTGGAATGTGTTTTCATTTGTGTATATTACCTTTAGTTTCAGCATGGTTTGTGCTTTTTGTCATGTAAGTCTTTCACCTCTGTAGTATTATGAAGTATTTTTTCTAATGCAAATATAAATGATTTTTTTTCATAACTTTCCTTTCATATTGCTCATTGTTAGAATATAGCAATGTAACTGATTTGTGTGTCGACTTTGTATATTGCTACTTTTCTGTATTTATTTATTCTTGTAGCTTTTTAAAAATGTGTGAGGGTTTACTAAATAAAGGATAATATCAGTGAACAGAGATCATTTTGCTTCTTTCCAAATTGTATGCCTTTCATTTCTTTTTCTTGCCTAATTTCTCTGGCTAGAATTTCCTCATACATTCTTCTTATAGCTTAGGAGTCATTGTTCTGTGTAAATGAGAACAGATGTAGATCTCATGTCTGTGATTTTATGTTTTGATATGTTTACAGAAAACCAAGTTTTTAGTTTTAAGCTGCTTTCCTAAAATACCTTTTTCATAATTAATTTTTTCTCAAAGTAACACACGGAGTTTGACACAAGTCTAATGTCAATAACTGCTCAGAAAATTTGAGGAATTTTATCATAGTTGTGAAAGTTGCTACACATGACTAACAATTTTTCCAGCTTATTGACTTCTATGTTTCCAGAGCATAATTTTAGTGCATAATGAAATTATTTATGTAGTCATTGGACTTATTGATGACATAAACTGGGAAAAAGCATTTTATGATTAATGTGGAAGATTGTTTTCTATCCTGAGATAACTTTTTAGTTTTAAATCATTTGAAAACTTAAATCTGTCAATGTGCTTTTTCCCCTTTTAGTAGTAGTATACAGGGTTTCTTGGTAGTGGTTACAATAGAAGGTATTTTAGAAACATATATGATTGTCTGGAAAGAAGACTGGGGGATAAAAGAAGATGCAGCAGTGTCTTTTTCTCTAATAGCAGTAATGGTGTTCTAAGAGGTGAACTCTGGAAAGACCTCATGCTTTTCTTTATTTTTTGGCATTGTTCAGAAATAGAAATAGGAATTTAAAATAATTTCTTATATTATAGAATTTCTCTTTAATTAACCTCAGTAAGGTTAAAGGAAAGTAGTAGACTGTATAAATTTAATAAAACATGCATTTGGGGCATATAGATAACTTTTTTGTTTGGCTTATGTAAAACAATGGCTGGAGATATTTTGTGTTGAAGAGTGGCTAAGAGTACATTTTGCTTATAGTTAAACTAAGGATACAAGAAATGCACATACACAACCTCCTGCCCCCCAAAACCAAAACCTGTATGTTTTTTTATAATTCCTACCCAGCATTATTTTCTTACCTTATTTTCCCGAAAGAGACATTGAAGGGATTCTCTTAATTATAGTATATCTATGTCAGATTGATTAAAAAAAAATGAGCAATTTTCTCTTAAGTTGGGTTTGGTGGTGCACACCTATGATCCCAGGTACGTGGGAGGATCACCTGAACATGAGTTCCAGACCAGCCTGGGCAATATGGTGAGACCCTGTCTCAAGGGTTTAAAGAAATTATTATTTAGACTTTGAGGTAGACAGTTAAAATGTCAGTAAAATACCATGTGGTTTGTGTCATGGTTTGAATATGGGCAGCAAACACCCCCCCACCCCCCACCCCCTCATCCTTGGTAGTGTTCATGTGCTGAAGGATTGTTCCTCAAGATGGTATTATGGACCTTTGGAAGCTGGGTCCTTAGGTCATAGTGGGTCATGCCCCAGAAGGGGATTCCAAGACTCATGCCATCCTCTTCCTGTTTTCTTTTCTGGCCATGAGGTGAGTACTTTTACTCTCACTTCCAGTCTCCCCCCAACCCCCAGGCCCAAAACAACAGGGCTTATGATTTGTGGACTAGAGCCTTCAAAACTGAGCCAGGATAAATATTTTTTCTTTGTAAGTTAATTTCAGGTATTTCATTATAATAACATGAAACGGATTCATAATTTGCCAAAGAAAAATTGAAAATTTTTCTAATGTTTCTAATAACATTTAATTGAATATTTTTAGTGGTGTTATAATTTCTGCAGCAATTAACGTAAATTCAGAAGTTTCCTTAATTTTTAATAGTTTGGTTTTGTAGTTTTGAAAATACTTATGAAAATATTTAAACGTTGGTATGAAATGACTTGTTGACATTTGGGAATGAGAATCAAGTCAAGAAAGATTCTCAGGTGCACGTTTCAAATCACATACTCCTTCTTTTGCAGTGCTGGTTGTTGATCCCAGGGCCTCCTGCAGAAAGCTTGTATTCTTGACATTCTCAGGCCAGGCTGTACAGACTTGATTTATACACAGAGAATTAGTTCCTTACTAGGATTTTGTTGTTTTGTGGTACCAGGAGTTGAGCACAGGGCTCATGCATGCTGCACAGTGCTCTACATTGAGCCATATCCCCAACCCTTTTTATTTTTTTAATTTTTTTTGAGATGGGGTAAGCTAAGCTTCCCAGACTGGCCTCAAACTTACAATCCTCCTGCTTTAGGCTCTCAAGTTGCTGGAATTACAGACGTGCACTACTGTGCCATCTTTGTTTTTGTTATTGTTTTGGTATATCAATCAAGGTGCTGTGCTTATCAGTAGCCAACTTAGCAAGACCCTGTCTTAAAAAAATAAAATGGCAACAACAACAAAATACGAGTATATTCTCTTTAAGAATATACATTATTATATAGTTTTGCAGTTTGGAGTGATATATGTTCAAAATAGTAAAATTAAATAACCTGGCATTTAAAATGATGAATTGTGGTATCTAGAAAACATGGATGTCTAGTATATTAAAGTTTTTTGTAGCCAGTTTTGCTATTAAGAAATGTTTAAGGGGCTGGGGGGTTGTGGCTCATTGGCAGAGTGCTCGCTTAGCACATGCAAGGCACTGGGTTTGATCCTCAGCACTACATAAAAATAAATAAATAAAATGAAGGTATTGTGTCCAACTACAACTAAAAAATATATTTAAAAAAGAGAAATGTTTAATTTTCTAATCAAAGCAAACTAACAAAAATCTTTTCTCTGTTTTTCTCCCTTAAGTAGCTATTTCTCATTTGCTCTCAGAGGCAGTCTTTTTCTCTTCAATTTTAATTTTTAAAGATAATTTAATATGAATCCTTTTTAAGTTTAGGTATATATTATCTAGACAAAGAACAGATTTAAAACCTGTTAAATTGGAAGAAAAGGTTTAAGGGCTGCGTTACGGGAAATATTGTTGTGGCTATATTAGGAAAATAAAATCTACATTATGACAGGTTATTGAAAAAGGAAAGGATTTGAATAAGCTATATTTAATTTGCATCCTTGAGTTATGATGGTTTTTCCCTCTGTGGGTTTTTTTTGTTTTGGTTTGGTTTTGGTACTGGGGATTGAACCCAGTGGTGCTTAACCACTGAGCTTCAGCGCCAGCCCTTTTTTGTATTTTATTTATAAACAGGGTCTCTCTGGGTTGCTTAGGGCCTCTGTAAATTGCTGAGGCTGGCTTTGAACTTGCAATCCTCCTGAGCCTCAGCCTCAGAAGCTGCTGGGATCCCTCTGTTTTTAATTAAAAGCATTCAAGAAGTTCATTGGATTAAACAGAGAGGAATGAAGGGAAGGGACAGGGAATGAGAATAGGAAAGACAGTAGAATGAATTGGACATAATTTTCCTATGTTTGTTTATAAATATACAATCAGTATAACACCACATCACGTACAACCACAAGAATGGGAAGTTATACTCCATGTATGTACAATATGTCAAAATAACTGTACTGTTATAACTGTACTGTCATGTATATCTAAAAAGAACAAATTAAAAATGTGAGAAAAAAAATAAAACCATTCATGGGATCTTACAGAATTGATTTTCCTGATCTCAAAGTTTAGAAAATAAATAGAATTGTATATCATGCATACTCTACTTTATATTCTGCTTTTCTTTTCATGATCTGTATTACAATTACAATTCAGTTCATAGATTTACCTTATGGTAAGTTTAGCATGCTTTTGGCTGCTATTTTGTCATGAAATCTAAAAATTGTCAGCATCAATACAAATCAGATTTTATTCACATGCACTATTTTTTGTTGTTGTAAATTCCTGGAGTCCAGTTATGATAGATGTATAGTGAAGAAATAGATCCATTTTTTTCATAGACCATGAGGTAATAATCTGGATTGAAAATTTGGTAGCAAAGAAAGGATAGATAAAAAATAAGATAAAAATGGTAGATAAAATGCATATTTTATTGAAAGGCACAATAAAGATAATGTCTGTTCTGATATAAACTATTCACATTATGCTGACTGAAAACATTATGATTTCAAATGTTAAGTTTCTTGATTTGTGGGAATTTTTCTGGGTAGGTTAACTGTAGTTATCCAGATGGGGCCTCAACTACTGGCATATATCATGGGGAATTCACTGAGGATGTTGTGCCCAGCTTTGCAGGTGTAAAAGGCTAATTATTTTTTTTTTTTTTTTTTTGCAATTGTTATATCTTTATGTCTATAATGCCATTACTTTTGCTTTAAATAGTTACAATATCTTTTTTAATTTTTAGAGGGGTTATACCAGGAATTGAACTCCAGAGCTCTCAACTGCTGAGCCACATCCCCAGCCCTATTTTGTGTTTTATTTAGAGACAGGGTCTCACTGAGTTGCCTAGTGCCTCCTTATTCTCCTGTCTGAGCCTACCAAGCCGTTGGGATTACAGAGGTGGGCCAATGCGCCCAGCTAACAACAAATTCTTATAGCTTTTGTTTACCTTACAAGTTATTTCACTCTGTTTTGGAAAGATACTGAATTTTTGTTGTTTCCTTTTACCACTTTGTTTTAATTTTTTGGGGAACTGGGGATTAAACCCAGAGGGATCATTGAGCTACATTCCCAGCTCTTTTTATTTTTACTTTAAGATAAGGTCTTGCTAAATTATTTAGGGCCTCGCTCAGTTGCGCAGTCTGGCCTTGAACTTGGGGATCCTCCTGCCTCAGCCTCCTGAGCTGTTGGGATTTCAGACGTGGGCCACCACGCCAGGCTCTTTTCACCACTTTGGAGATGTCTTGTATCTTGCATTCTTTCTGATGAGAAATAGCTGTTATTTATGGAATGTTCTTGTTCTTTGCCTGTTTTTAAGATTTTATGGTCATTGATTTTTAGTAGTTTGATTTTTGTGATGTGACTAGGTAGTTTTGTTTTTATTATTTTGCTTGGGGTTTGATTTGAAATCAAGTCATTTTCCTCCTTCAAAATTATGAATTATTCTTTAATTCTCCAAGTGTTTTGTTTGTTGTTCAGTCTTCCATTTTTGCTTTCTAAATGTTTTATTTGTGTGTAGTTCTTTTGAGGTTTCTGGCTGGAGAGACTGGGTGCTCAGGCCATTAACTAAGATAGGAAATGCAGTGTATGCTCACTTGTAGTCTTCAAAATAAGTTATTGAATTTCACAACTAAAAGAGGTCATTGGTCATCTTAGCCAAGAGTAAGAATGAAAAGTTGGGATTCATACAAGAAAGAAAGGATGAAGTAAGAATTTAAGAAATGAAGAGACTTAAATGATTGTGCTTGTGTCTTTGAGTTTTATGCCCCATAATTGTGAGATAGCCTAAAATTGTTTCATTTTTAGGCCTTCAACATAAATAGCATCCGTTTTCCCCCACTTTTTAAAAGAGTAATCTGAGAAAACACCAATCACTTTATGATGATATCTAGGGAGCATAATTGCTATAGCATATTGCTTATGCTTTGTCTCAGTTTATATTTTTCTTAGGTTAATATCACTTATAGTTAAGCCCTCTGACGTTGAATATTCAATTGCATCTTATTTATTCTCATGTTCTAGGAAAATTTTGGTCAGATATACACAAGGGGCTCTTTGCCCATTTTTAGGTTGTACTGTAATCAATACTTGTTGGGAAGCAGAAGACTTAAAATTTCTATAATAGCTTTTTAAATTTGTTTTGTTTTAATAGGTACTAGAATATCAATGGATAATTCATCACTATTAATCTGTTACACAAAAATGTCATGAATCCAACTAGTATGTATAATTATAATGTACCAGTAAAACATTTAAAAAATCTGTTGCAGAACTTTGTGAAGTCATAAATACACTTCAGCTTTTCATATTAGAATTAAGAAGAATGAATTCAGTAAGTAAATTGTAAGCAAATAATTAATACATAATTATTACATAACTTTGAAGTTGTGAGATTTAAATTTTTCAGAGATACTAAATATAAAGCACTGAATACAAAGCATAACAAAGAAATACAAAATACACTTAGATAGAGTTCCCCCAGGGGACAGTTTACTTCCTGAGACTTTTATTAGATGGTACTATTGGAAGGATGAAATATAATCTTAAAGGATTTTGTTATTTTTAATAGTATATTACAATTTGTGTTTTAGAATAAAGATTAAGTGCTTAAAATAATTAAAACCAAGTTGAAGTGACTTCACTCAAAATTCTAAGATCAGTACAGTTTAGTAATTTCTTGGTCACTAAATTCTTGATTACTTATAATTTTCATTTCAAACATTTCAGAAATTTGCAGGTTATTACAGGTGCTGACATCCTTTGATTTGTTATTGAAATATTCTTTCTTTTTCCCCAGTTCAAAGCAGTATTCAGCGATTTCAAGAGAAGTTTTTTATTTTTGCTTTGACACCTCAACAAGTTAGAGAGATATGCATATCAAGGTAAGAGGAATGCTTGGAGTATGTTTCTCCTTTAATGTTGTATATTGGTCTTTTAGGGCTACCATAACAAAGGGCTGCACAGAGAGGTTGGCTTAAATAGCAGAAATTTGTTTCTCAAAATTCTGGAGGCTTCTGTTCAAATTTCTTCTAAGGCCTTTCATTTTAGCTTACCCATTTTGCTGTATCTCCTTACATGACCTTTTCTTTGTACCAGGTATATGCCTGGAGTCTTCCTTTTAATACCAGCTCTGTTTAGGGACCCACCCTTAAGACTTCATTTAACCCTAATTGCCTCTTTTGAAAAATCTTGTCTTCAAATGCTCACATTGGTAGGGCTTCAGCATGACAATTTTGTGGGTATACTGTCCAGTTCATAACTGTTGGACTTTTTCTCTTTTAAACAAGGGGAGTATACTTTGAAAATTAGTCAAATATTTAATAAATACTCCATATTAGAAACAATTTTAACTTTTGAATTGAAACCTCACTATCTTTTAAATTGTTTAAGTCACATTTGGCAACACATGTTTTTCCTGTTTTGTCAGTGCTGGGAATCAGACACAGTGCCTTTTACATATAGGCAAGCATCTCACCACTAAACTACACAAAATCGCACAGCAATTTTTTAAATGAAAAATATTTTCCAAATATTAAACATAAAAATTTGTGATAAGGGCTGGGAATGTGGCTCAAGCGGTAGTGCGCTCGCCTGGCATGCGTGCGGCCCGGGTTCGATCCTCCAGCACCACATACAAACAAAGATGTTGTGTCCGCCAATAACTAATAAATAAATAAATATTTTAAAAAAAAATTTTGTGATAAAAGCCCAAAGGTAGGATGACCATCAACTTCATAATATCAAACTGAAGCATTTTTTAAAGTAAAGTGAGCATAATTAATATTTATTTTTCAATAAGAACAAAAATCTTAAAGTTTAGAGCAAAGTAAGCTAAAAAAAAAATACTGACCAAAAAATTACTTGAAATCTAAAAGCAATTAGAAAAGTACTGTTAACCCTTGCCTATTTTGGAAAATAGAATCTTAAAAGTACACATTTGTAAAGAGTAAATGAATTAAGAGAAGTAAAAGGAAAGAGAAGGTAATTTGTAGGGTAAACTTTTCAAATTAAACTTAATCATCTTGAAAACTGGAAGCCATGTGTAGCCATTCTTATTTGTAGCCATTGCTGAAGTAGAAGCGGCCAAAATGAAGTTCAACCCTTTGTTCAAAGGTGTCTTAATGCCTCTTCCCATGTTCACTGGATGATTATGTTCTTCCCTCCTTCCTGAGAGCAGAGGCAAAAGTTGTGCACAAGCACAACTTTTGATCTGTGTGCAATCAAAGGGATAATGAAGTTCAGGTTGTGTGAGGACACTGTAAAGGCTAGCAGATTGGCAAAGTAGTTTGGATTTATAGGAACAAACTTGTCATGTGCATTGAATGTGGCGATGGGAAAAGGCTAATGGCACAAGAGCTGTCCATGTGAGCATTCACCCCAGAATGGTCATTATCACCAGACTAAAACTGGACAAAGACCGCAAAAAGATCCTGAAATGGAAGGTCAAATCTTGCTAAATAGGAAAGGAAAAGGGCAAATATAAGGAAAAAACAATTGAAGATACAGGAGAGAAGTCTAAAGTTATCTTTTACAATTTTCAAGCTGCTAAAATGAATATATATATATATATATATTTTTTTTTTTTTTTTTTGTGTGTGTGTGTGTGTGTGTGTGTTAATAATAACTTCTTTATATAAGGTGCTATAGTTTACTAACTTTGGGGGGAAAGTCTATATTTAACATAATTTTATAAGTTTTTTTATAGCCGAATGTTGCCATCTTTAATCTGTAAGCTGCATATTAAGTCTCCCTAGGTGGTGGATTCAGATTTATGGACCTTAAACTCTTAAATATGAAGTATCTTGAAAATGGACTGTTGTTATGTAGAAGACTCTGGGACACAACTTTAGATTCTTTGACTAATTATATCATTTTTATTAAATTTTATTAAAATTATGTGTCTCAACAAAATTCTCAATGATTTTATAATCTGTCCCTGGAAAGTTTGAGGTCCCAAAGAGTAGTGCACACATAGAAAGGGTAACTTGTAGGGATCTTAGGGGACATTTAAGAAATCAACTAACAAAATAGACAAAAATCATATTTTATATCATTAGTTCTTAGTTTTGTTTTCTTTTGATAAGCTCTTACTTAGGAGCAGTGTTTGTTAAGTGTTCATTAGGTATAAGATGTTTTATATGACATGATCCTTTTCTACCAAGTTTAGTGCAAATTGTAAGAGGAAATCAGCTCATTTTCATAAAGTGTTTGATGCAAGGTGTCATATGAAAAGAACCTGTTTAGTAATGACAGATGAGCTGATTTATAGGAGGGAGAAGATAACTGTTACCTGTAGTAACAGTCTGGGAAAACTTGACTAAGATGTTGGTTGGCTTTGAATAAAGGAGATTAGAGTAAGAGATTTAGAGGTTCATACTTCAAGGAAATTTTTTAAGCAAATGAAGTGAGGAACACTTGCAAACTGTGCTATTCTAAATGTGTGGGAGAATTTGCTTTAAGTACATAAATATGTAAGTAAACATATCACTTAAAACTCTAGCTGCTTCTGGAGAAGGGAACTAGATAGCTGGGAGCAGAATTATGGGGACTCTTTATATCTTTCTTTAATACATTTGGTGTTTGGATTATGTGAATATGTTAACTAATAAGAAATGGATGACTAATTTTGTTTTTTTTTAATACTTATTTTTTAGTTGTAGTTGGACACAATACCTTTATTTTATTTATTTATTCTTATGTGGTGGCTGAGGATCGAACCCAGGGCCTTGCACATGCTAGGTGAGCATCCTACCACAGAGCCACAACCTCAACCCATGAATTTTAAACTGAAAGTATTAATCATGTTCTGTAGATAGATGGTGGTGATAGTTGCCCGATATGAATGTACTTACTGCCACAGACCTGCACTTTTTTTTTAAAATTTTTTAGTTGTAGTTGGACACAACACCTTTTATTTATTTATATGTGATGCTGAGGTTTGAACCCAGGGCCCTGCATGTGCTAGGCGAACACTCTGTGGCTGAGCCACAACCCTAGCCCACCAGACCTGCACTCTTAAGAATGATTATAATGCAGGGATGAGAAAAGGGGAGGGGAGGGGAGGGGAGGGGAGGGGGGATAGTAGAGAATAGGACAGACAGCAGAATACATCAGACACTAGAAAGGCAATATGTCAATCAATGGAAGGGTAACTGATGTGAAACAGCAATCTGTATACGGGGTAAAGTTGGGAGTTCATAACCCACTTGAATCAAACTGTGAAAGATGATGTATTAAGAACTGTGTAATGTTTTGAACGACCAACAATAAAAAAAAAAAAAGAAATAAAAAAAAAGAATGATTATAATGGAAAAATTATTTTTTATTGTATATTTAACCCTAATATAAAATTTTTTTTAAAGTAGTGGCTGTTTATAATCCCCCCTCAAAAGATAAAGACCACATGCATCACATGTAAATTACAAAGCCTAACCTTTTCAGAGCTACATAGTAAATTGGTAAAAATCCCCTTAGTGCTGCCTATAATTTCAGGATTCTGAAGGCTGAGGCAGGAGGATTGCAAGTTCAAGGCCAGCCTCAGTAACTTAGTGAAACTGTCTCAAAATAGAAAAAATAAAGTCTTTGGGACGTAGCTCAGTGTTAAATTGCCCCCTGGGATAAATCTCCAGTTTCCAACTCCCACTGCAAAAAAAAAAAAAAAAAAAAAATCCGTATAATAAATGGAAGTGAAAGTTTGCTGCCTATTACCAAGCTTTAATAATTATCAATGTTTTGGCTGTCTATATCTGACCTCCCTCCTTCCTTTTTTTCCTGAAGCATTTAAAGCAGATCACAGGCATTATATAATTTAATCCAAAAATATTTCAAGATTCAGCTCTAATTTTGAACATAATCACTGAAATTAATAATTCCTTAATACAGATAATACCCAGTCCATATTCATATTTGCTCAATTGTTTTAGTTTTCAAACAAGGTTCATATATTACTTTTGAATTTAATGTTGATACAATAATATTAACCAAACTGTAGACTGCAGATTTTGCTAATTTTTTAACTAATGAACTCTGTTTCTAAATCTCATTTTAAATTACATTTAATTGTGATATCATCTTAATTTCTTTTCTTTTTTTTTTTTAAGAGAGAGAATTTTTTTTTTTTAGTTTTCGGTGGACACAACATCTTTGTTTGTATGTGGTGCTGAGGATTGAACCCGGGCCGCACGCATGCCAGGCAAGCGCGCTACCGCTTTAGCCACATCCCCAGCCCTTAATTTCTTTTTTTACTTAGTAAGTTTCTTAGTTTTTCCTTGTCTTTTTGACTTCTGATACTTTTGAAGAGTACTGGTCAGGCATTTTGTTGACTGCCCTCAGTTTCGGTATGTCTTTTATTTTGTTACTGCTGAAATTTTTGCATTTTTGATAATATCTCAAGTTATATTCCCTTCTTGGTGTTTCATACCAGGGACTACATAATATTGATCTGTTTTATTTTTGGTGATACTAACTTTGGTTTGTTTGGTTAAGGTACTATGTACCAGATTTTTGCACTGTAGTTATTGAGTTTCTTATTAATAACTACCTTGGGGGAGATACTTTCAGAGTAGGCATATATTGTTGCTCCTCAGACATTTGCTCTAGTTCATTATTCATTTGTGAATCTTGTCTTCAGCAAAATAGTCGTGTGTTTCAGTGATGATTTTCTATTATCCTTATTCTTTTCTACATTGGAGCTTTTCTTTTGTAGGAAAGAACTGTCCCTTCTCCCTTATTTATGTATGTAGGAATTCATATCAGTGTGGTTTCATAGGTGTTCCATGGGTTTAACTCAGTGCCATAGGGATTTATATTGTGGTTCAATTGTTCTATCTTTGGCTGTTGGTAGTTCTTTCAAATTGGCTTTAATGCCCTTTTAATGTTCCTCTCCCTCCCAGATCCACTTTTAAGCACCTTTATACTTTCTGATATCCAAGATACTCCAGGCTTATCTTCTGGTTTTGTGTTCCCCATGGAATTGGGAATTGATCACTTCTCCACAGCCATGGTTCCCCTCATAATTATAATTATCACAGTTTCTGCTTTTCAAACAACAACAACAAAAAAGTTTCATTTGCATTCTTGCTTCTAGTGGTAACATTTAACCATGCCTATCCCTATGGTTCTCAAACTTGCTGCATATTAGAGTCAACTGGGGAGCTTTAAGAAAATCCAATCCATGCCAGATACCCAGGATTCATCCCATATCAGTTAAATTAGAATCTCCTAGGATAGACAGTGGTTTTTGTGGTGCTGGAGATCAAACCCATACACATGCATACTGTATATGTGCTTTATTATTGAATTATACCTATATCCCCAAAACAGGGATCGTTAAAGCTCTCTGGGCGTTTCCTGTGAGCAAATTTGAAAACCACTGCTGTGTGTCTGACTCTTCCCGTTTGCCTGTAGAGATAATAAGGTCTAGTATAAAGATGTGAATATATTCAGGTTCAGCTAGCTAGCTTCCTTCCTTCCTTCCTTCCTTCCTTCCTTCCTTCCTTCCTTCCTTCCTTCCTTCCTTCCTCCCTCCCTCCCTCCCTCCCTCCCTCCCTGCCTCCTTCCTTGTCTCCCTCCCTTCTTGCCTCCCTCCCTTTTTTCCCTCTTCCCCTCCTCCCTTTGTTTTATATCATGTAAAGATCCATCAGTGAGTGGCCTCAGCTCTCTTCTTGACTTCAGGACTTCCATTTGGTACTACCACATTTCTAATCATTCTTCCTTAGGTCTTCCCGTTGACTTTTCCTGCTCATTCTCAGAAATCAATTTGTGATTCTCTTCTTGATACTCTGTCAGTTTCTTTGTATGTGCTTTTGTTATTTTTATATTGGAAGTTGAAAATCACCGCTCTCTCTCTCCAGTGTCCTTTCTCATTGAGCCTACTTTAATGATTCACAAGCACATCAAACACAGCACATCTAAAATTAAACTTGCCTACTTTTCAGACTTGCTTGTCTTTTGTTCCTTTAATGCAGCACATTTATTGACTTTCTGCTGTAGTCCAGATTGTACTCCATATATCAGTGACAAACTTGAAAAATAAATTGGCTGCAAGGACATTTTTCTTTGATGTATTTCCTGCTGTAGTCCCCATTCATTGATAGCATTGGGATCTGTCAGGACACAAGGCCTCTTGGTATTATCCCACTGTTCATAGACCATCTCCCATTATTTTGATAACACTGTATTGATTCTTCTCCATCACTTTCCAGAGTTATAACTTAACCACGGAACTCTACTTTTGAAGAAGCTAGTAGAATTTTTAGAGTAATACCAACTAGAAAGTGAATCTTGGCCCAATGTACTGGTGCATGCCTGTAATCCCTGATTTAGGAGCCTGAGTCAGGAGGATCACAAGTTCAAAGCCAGCCTCAGCAATTTAGCACGGCCCTGGGCAACTTAATAAGAGTCAGTCTCTCTCTCTCTCTCTCTCTCTCTCTCTCTCTCTCACACACACACACACACACACACACACACACACACACCCGTCTGGGGGTAAAGCTCGGTGGTAAAGTATCATTGGGTTTAGTCTCCAGTAACAACAAAAAAGTGAATTTTGGCTTAACCACCTAGGTCTATATGCTGCTGGACTAGTGACTAAACCTCATTCATTCTTATCTATCCAATATGTAAAACTGGAGTAACCTCACCACCTCAATGGGTCTTTTGAAGAGGGGTGCTATAACTTGCTCTACTTCTCCTTATCCCAATGAGTAGCATCAACAACTATCCCATTGCACTATTCCAAAACCTGAGCACCCACCCAAAAATGCCTCTTCTCTCATTTACTTCCTGTGTTTAGTCAGGCTTTGAGGTCTACTGAATACTTTATGCTGAAGTATCTCTTAGCAGTATTTGTGTTTAATTAGCTTTCAAGTTCTCTTCTTTTGCCTATACAATTGAAATGGTCTCCTAACTTTGGTTCCTAGCTGATCATGTGATCTTTCTAAAGCCTGTTCTGTTTTTTTCTCTTTGGTACTCAAAAACCTGGTAGTGCTGCTTCATCAAGTCCACACTTCATTGCCTGGCAGCTCTTTACATTTTGCTCTGCCCAACTTTTTTTTTTTTTTTTAATCATCTTATCTTCCATTAGTTTTCTCTAGCAACTTATATTCTGAATAGGTTTTCTACTTTTCTAGGCTCATCTCCTGTCATTTCTCTTTTTTTCAGATTATGTTCCCCAACCTAACAAGATACTTAAGGCATTTCTAATTGATCCTCACTTTTCTATTGAGAATCACAACACAAGTGGGGTCACTAAATAGAAATAGGCAGAACCACTGTTGTATAAACCCTATTTGATTGGTCTTCTGATAACTGCCTTGAACTTTCAAGACAAAAATTAAGTTTCCACATTGCTATAGCACTTATCACACTTTTGTTTTGTTATGTGTGTGTGTGTGTGTGTATATATGTATATATGTATATATATGTATATGTATATATTGTTTTGTTATGTATATGTATACTACTGTCATGAGTCCTTTGAAGCAAATACTGTGTTTTATTTATCTCTGACGCCCCCAGTGCCCAGACTGAAATGTTTCTTGATTTGAATGAGTGGAATAATATGAGTTGCTCAGAAGAGGTCAGTATTGTCTAGGATATGGGAGTGTTTTGAAGAGACACTTGAAAACAGTGGAGCCTTTTAGTGGCAAGGAAGACAGTGGGAGGAGAGGAAACACTGGTACCCAGCTGCTCACACTTATTGAGCACAGCTCTTGTGTTAACATGTTTAATCATCACAACAATTTAATGTGGTAGAAGCAGTAGTTTTCTGTCTTTAACAAATACAGAAACCAAAACACAGAAAGGTTAAGTAATTACTCAAGGTCCTTTAGCTTAGGACCATAAAGCTCATGCTGTGCTTTACTGCCTTCCATCAAGGTACAGAGTTGGAAACAATGAACAGACTATCTCAGAATAAAGTGAGGGTAAAATGTACTACTTTAGGTACTACTGTTAATGATCTTTTCTCTGACAAAGTGCAAGATTTAGGATAATGGCTAAGGATACCTTGTTAACTACAAGGTATATCTTCAGGTGATCTTGTTAAAATGCAGATTCAAATTCCATACATCTGGGATAGGGACAGAGAGTCTGCATTTCTAACAAGCTCCTAAAGATACTAGTGCTACTTTGCTGTGGACTCCATTTTGAATGGCAAGGGTTTAGAGGGTTCGGTGCCAGAGGTGTTTTATATAGAACTCTGTTTCTCATCTAGAAAGTGCAAGAGGTTATGTGTATTAATTTGAATACTAATTATGAAGTTGCTATTGTATAGAGAAGTTGATACTGCAAGCATTAGTTCTATATTAGAATAACTTGGATAGCTGTAAAATGTAATGAGAGACTATACTCAAATCGTTAGAATATCTAGTGAATGGACTTTTATGTTAAACAAGCAAGATCTTCAAGTGATTAGAATCTTAGAGTGGAAAACTGCTAAGTACAGAAATTTGTTAATTTTTTTCAGAACCTAGCATATTTCTTTTCATGTTAACAAATTTGTTGTCTATTGAAGTAAATACTGTATTGTGAGTTCCTATGAATTGAAAATACCTTAAAATTGCTGAAAAGACATGACTAAAAGTCAATGAACATTATCATCAGAGTGTTTTAATTAAGGTTTATACGGTTGGCAGGCTAGATTTCATGTTTTAACAAGTAAGAATAAAAATGAATAATTACACCCCCCCCCCGTGATAGTGTTCCTGTGGAATCTTATTCTATATTCTTAACCTATTCTATTTCTCTTTCCAACAGGGATTTTTTGCCAGGTGGTAGGAGAGATTATACAGTCCAAGTTCAGCTGAGGTGAGTTTGAAATTTTCTAACTATAAGTTTACACTTGTTACCTTTGTATATGTGACCCTAAATTTTAAAACATATAAACATGTTCAGATTCATTATTTATGAGAGGTTTCTTCTTCTTCTTTTTTTTTTAAATGCAGACTTTGCCTGGCAGAGACAAGTTGTCCTCAAGAAGACAACTATCCCAATAGTCTATGTATAAAAGTAAATGGGAAGCTATTTCCTTTGCCTGTAAGTTGCTTTTTATTCATAAGATTTTCATGTAAATTTAATGTAAACACTGACAAGGTCTAGAAACAGTGATAGCTACGTACCAATTAATAGTTAGTTCTAGCATCTAGATTAAATATTGTTTTGTCTTTGAGGGATCCATAGCTCCTTAGAGAAATAAATGACTCTTGGAGGGATGGAAAAAAAAATGAGCCTGGAACTTGTTATTTTAGAATTTTAGGAAGCTCTGAAAGACTCTTGGGATCATATTAAACAACAGGACTTGGGCACTTAAATATATAGGACAGCGTGTTATGGTGGCTATATGGATTAGCTGAGACTAACCAGTGGACGTGTGGTGGGATGCAGGGTCTTTTTGAGAGCGGCTAGCCCAAGAGATATAGAGTTCCAAGCCTGGAACTTGATGTACACACCAGAGGGTTAGGGGAATGCAATGATATTTGACAACCTGTTGTTTAACAGGGAAACAGCATATGGACTTAGCTGGAATATATACATTGTAAAATGTATGCATCCTGTTCCTGACCTAATAGATAGTTTTGGAATCTTCAAATCCTTAATCAAGTCTTAAAAATAATATTTAAATTGGTGAACTGTTTTGTATTTTGCACTGAGGCCTGAAGTATATTATTAAATTTGTCAGTTGTACAGAAGGCCAACAAAAGCATTTAAAAAAAAAGTATGATCTCTTTGTTAAGCCCTACCAAGTGTTTGCTCTAACTGAAGTATTCTGAGAACAGACCCCCTCCCCCCTCCCCATTTTGCTGAGGTGCCATTTCAACAGATCAGACACCATTGCAGCTCTTGAGGAATGAATGGGAAGCTGTTTAGCATTCCTGCTGAGCATGAGACTTGGCTCTGGAGTAAGTATATGAATAATACCTATGAGCAGCTAAGCCCTTAAAATTGAGCTCCCAACTTAAGATAGTCCATGGCTCAGGTTGACCCCAGTAGCTAAAGGAATCTGACTTTTCTTGTTAGGAATGTGTGTCATTCATAGACAGTGGATTTAGAAAACTTGAGAAATACTTGTTCCAGGAGTTTTACAGAGCTTGAAGACCACTGCATCACAGACTCTTTGTGAAGATGCCTGTAAGACTGAAATCAGTTGGGATAGTCCTATGGGGGTAAAAAGGGGGGAAAGAGGATGAATAGATATGCTCAGGAACGATTGCTTACATGGTCCCATATATATTCAAAGCCAGGTTGGACGTGCCAGTGATGCTGTGTCTGAAATATGTGATGATTTGTTTAAACTCTTTGGCATTGCTTTAGAAAATATGGAGGCTGCATATGTGTATACACACAAGTCCATAAAATTTCCAGATAGACTAGTCAATAACATATATGAGGATGATAATCCTCATGGCTGAGATCTTCACCACTGAAGCTCTGAATTTGTCACTCTTACAGTCCTTTTGAGAGAGAGAATATTAGGCAGCTGATTATTTCCTCTTTACATTGTTAGTTATTGCTGACTTCTGCCCCAAAGCACCAATTAACCCTTGAGTGCTTATCCTAGGCTATTTGTGAATACATTGACTACTCTTTAAAGCACCCTTTGTCTGATGAATTTGGTACTTATCCTGGGAGTTAGGGGTACTTGTGAAGAAGAAGAAATAGAGCAATGGGAGAATGGCAGAGACATTTTTAAAATTTAAAGGGAGTGGGGAAGCCCTGCTTGACCCAGCTAGGGCCATGCCAAAGAAAATCCTATTCCAGCCTTTTCCTGAAAAGGCTTTTTGCCATAGACCCATGAACTCCCGTGGAACAACTGACATAAATTCACATGCAATTGATGGAAAACGTCTTAAAATTACTTCTTAATCCACACATGCTATTCATTAAGGTAATGAAATTCATTAAGAACACAAAACAAGATTGTGAGGTTTATGAGAATTATGTGAATATGCTGCAGCCTCAGAAGAAGAAAGCTACAAGGAATGTATAGCAGTGACATTGAACTTTTGAGTCTCAGGGACCCTTTTCCAATTGTAAGAACCATGAGCAAGCCACAAAGAAGCTTAACATGTATGTAGTCCCTGCCCCTGCCCCTGGTTTGTTTAATAACAGATCCCAGAGGGATAAGGTTGACATGGTCATGGAATTTCCCACAAGAGCGCCAAACATATTTGTCGTATGCTGAATCACCTTATTATAATGTCTGGTTATTATAAACCCATGGCATTGGCCACTATATTGCATATGCACAGTAAATGGAATGGGAAATATAATTTGGATAATCCGAAGGAGAAGATTCTCTTGATGCAGGGAAGAAGTATGCAGCTCATAGTGAGGCTTGCACGGTGATGGCCTGCAGCTTGCAAAGATAAAAAGTTGCCTTAGACACTGCCCCCATCTTTGACTCCAAGGACTGCTGGTGTGCAGACTGAGAGCTAGATCAAGTCTATTTTTTTGTTTTATTTTGTTTTCTTGCAGGGTGGGGGTGGGCAGAAAAAGGCTTAGGGAGTTATTTTGAGTAGTTGACTTATTATTAGTTTTAAAGAAATTATAAGAAATTTCTATGAAACCTGTGGAACTGGAAGGTTGAATGGGGAAAGACTGACAGGGAGGAGTATTTCTTAGAGAGATTCCAAAGAATGGAGAAGATACGTGCTTTAACTCAGTTGGCAAAAATCTCCAGTTCCTCTTAGTGCAGTACTAACCTCCTTTTCCTAATAAATTCTGAGTTTATGGATTTCCCTCTTTCTGTTTTTTTTTTTGTTGTTGTTGTTGTTTTGTATCTGGGATTGAACACAGGAACACTTAACTACTGAGTGACATCCCCAGCCCATTTTTATATTTTATTTAGAGACAGGGTCTCACTGAATTGCTTAGTGCCTTGCTAAGTTGCTGAGGCTGGCTTTGAATTCCCAATCCTCCTGCCTCAGCCTCCTGAGCTAGTGGGATTACAGGTGTGCACCACCATGCCCAAAATAGGCAAGACAAAAGTTTGCATTTATAATTGCCTAAATACTGATATTGATATTCCTTGTGTTTGTCTATTCTTAGAATTTTTACAAGAGGACTTTTTAAAATTTATTTTTAAAAATTCTGATTATTAGTTACACTTGACAGTAGATGTATTTTGACATATTGTAAGAGGACTTTTTTTTTTTGGTTCTGGGGATTGAACTCAGGGGCACTCAATCACTGAGCCACATCCCCAGCCCTATTTTGTATTATTTAGAGACAGGGTCTCACTGAGTTGCTTAGCGCCTCCCTGATGCTAAGACTGGCTTTAAACTCTCCATCCTCCTGTCTCAGTCTCCTGAGTCTCTGGGATTACAGGCATTCACCACTGTGCCTGGCTTGTAAGAGGACTTTTTAATAAGCTTTTTTCTGTTGTATTTCACATGAGCAAATTTAGATGTGTGCACCCCTCCTATACACGCACACTCACACATAAGTTTTTTTCTTTGCCTTTTTACTCTGTTCCTCAGTTTTTGTTTTTGTTTAAAAAATTCAACTGGGGATTGAATTTTGGGGCTCTTACCCACAGAGCCACATTCCAGCCCTTTTCATTTTTTAATTTTGAGGTAGGACTTTGGAAAGTTGCTGAATCTGGCCTTGAACTTATAATCCTCCTACCTTAGCCTCTTGAATCACTGTGATCACAGTTGTGAGCCAACTGTGCCCAACTACTCACTCAATCAGTTTTAATGATTTTCAGAATTTGGTTGCAAGTTGAAGACTTAGCATGTAGATTCCTTCCCACTTCATAATAACTATTCTTCCTCTTATGAGACAATGGGGAAGGATGTTCCTAAGTTGTAGTAGACAACTTGGATGTGTTCCTTAGTTCTGCTCTATAATATCACCAGTATAGAATTCCTTGTAAGGTATATAATTCAATGTTGCTGAAATAACAAATGTTTTATGGTTGCTGATGTGGCAGCTGAGACGTTTTTGTTGTTGCCTTTACTTTTACAACTTTGATAGTATTTCTCTAGTATGATTGATTAGCTGCATGCCCTTAGCTTTTCAATCAACAGGTACTTTAAGGACATTTTATAAAGGAGAGTGAATTCTGGCTGTTGTCTGAAAACCTTTCATCACCATTCTCATAAGATCCATATTGCATTAGTATTGACTCATGTAGTTAATGATATGATTGACTTGCAAGAAAATCTGAGGTGTTAGCAACATGAAAAACAGTATTAAGAGATTGCTTTATCTCTACAGCTCTTGTTCCCATATAAGAATATCATTTGGAAAAACATGCATTGATGACTTTGAAAATTGAGCAGGGGGGCTGGGCTTGTGGCTAAGTGATAGAGCACTTGCGTAGCATGGATGAGGCACTGGATTCAATCCTCAGCATCACATACAAAATTAATAGCCGGATGTAGTGGTGTATGCCTATTATCCCAGAGGCTCAAGAGGCTGAGGCAGGAGGCTCGCAAGTTCAAAGCCAGCCTCAGCAACAGGGAGGTGCTAAACAACTCAGTGAGACCCTGTCTCTAAACAAATACAAATTAAAATCCCTGGGGATGTGGCTCAGTGGTTGAGTATCCCTGAGTTCAATCCCCAGTACCAAAAAAAGAAAGGTATTGTGTCCATCTGCAACTAAAAAATATTAAAAAGAAATATGAATCAGAAGATTCACCTGTATCCTAAAATAATATTAGTCAATTAATTTTGCTTATATTTTCTTCTATGTGTACAAAAATAAGTGATACACTAACTTAGTGTTTTTTCCTTCTCAATATTAGATAATTAAATTACATGAAAGATATCAGACCATTAGTGAAATATAATGCCTGCTTTTCAATACACAGATGTTACTGAAGCTAAGAAATTTTGATTTTCTTTAATATGTATTTGAAAGTATATAACCTGAAAATCATAACCTTTGAATTCTTTTGGTAATTAAAAATTGAGTATACTGTTAATCAAAAGTGATTATGTGGGGCTAGGGTTATGGATCAGTGGTAGAGCACTTGCCTAGCAAATGTGAGGCAGTGAGTTCAATCCTCAGCACCACATAGAAATAAATAAATAAACAAATAAAGGTTAAAAAAGGTGATTATGTTACCAGACATGGTGGTGCATGCCTCTATATCTAGCTACTCAGGAGGCTGAGGCAGGAGGATCACAAGTTTGAGGCCAGCCTCCAAAACTTAGACCCTATTCCAAAATTAAAAGTTTTTCCAAATGATATTCTTATATGTGAACAAGAGCTATAGAGATAAAGCAATCTCTTAATACTGTTTTTCATGTTGCTAACACCTCAGGGGATATAACTTAGTGATAGAGCACCCCTAGGTTCAGCTTCTATTGCCATTAAAGCACAAGAAAAATGAGTATATTTACTATTTAAAAGAAAATCTAATGCCAACTGAAATAGTGATGAATGTTTTTCATTGGCTTGATGTTTTTTTTTTTTCTTCTTCCTTTTTTCCTCCGTTTTTGATTTTGTAGTGCTGGGGATTCAACCCAGGGCCTTATGTTTGCCATACTACTGATTTACATGTCCAGCCCTTTTTATTTTTGAGATGGGTTAAAGTCGCTCACACAGGGCGACAACTTGATGATCTTCCTGCCTCAGCCTCTCAAGTAGCTGGGATCACAGGTGTGCACTTGACCTGATTTAAGTTTCCAAAGTTTGTTCTCCCTGTTTTCCACCCCAGTATGTTAAAATATTTTGAATGGGGTCTCCTAAGTGACTCATTTTGAAGAGTTGGGATTTCATCCGTAAAATTTGGTTTCTTGTAAAGGGGAAGAAGATTCATAGCCAAAATAGCAAGATGTTAGCCTCTTTAATGTTAATGAGGAAACATTGATTTTTATTATTTCTTGTATTTTTCTGGATCATGTGATTGTAACTGAAATTAGACAGTATCCTGCATCTATTTTGGGTAAAATGTTTAATGTCTTACAGAGAATTTAAGAAAAATTTCTTATGGTTACAGGGGTACGCACCACCACCGAAAAATGGGATTGAGCAGAAGCGCCCTGGACGCCCCTTGAATATTACATCTTTAGTTAGGTTGTCTTCAGCTGTGCCAAACCAGATTTCTATTTCTTGGGCATCTGAAATTGGAAAGGTAAATATTCTCTTGTCCACTGGAAGTTGGTGTTTTTAGTTTTTTCTTAGGCTAAACTGGCTCCACCCCTTTTCAATTCAAGGGTTGTAAGTATAGATATTTTGAAGGTTAATACCTTTAACTCTGAGGTTTCTTAAGTATCATGTCTGTTTTCTGGGTAAGAAATGTATATGTTTATATTCCTTAAGGTAATGATTTAAACACTGTGTTTGAGTGTGTGTGTGTGTGTGTTTGTGTTTGTAGTGTATCTTAAAAACCTGGAAGTTTTGGATGATTAGTATCTATGAAGAGGAGCAAAGGACAGAATGTTATCAGTCTTTGGAGGAAACAGTTGAATGTACTCATGTGATCAGAAATAATCTGTTCCTGCCTTTACATAAACAGCTAATTGTTCAGATAACAAACCATAAAATTATTTTCTCTACACCTTCAGGTTGATGAACCTGGCTTTCTGCTGATTTTGTCTCAAAGTGAATTATATCAATAAGATACTGACTAATACAACAGGGAATATACATTTTAGAAGCACTTGTTAACAAATAATGGAAAAAGATTTAATATCTGAGTATCAACTTTAGTTCCTGTTTCATGGAAATAAAGTGTAACATTTTGTTGTGGATGAAAAAGTTGAGGCATGTTTATAGCAGGAATTTTACTTCACTACTAGAGTAGTTGCAGAACTGGAAATAACTTTAGGATTTTGAATAAATTATTATTGACATTGAAGACTATAGATTTGCCATATAATGGGATTGATATTCGTTCTTTGTAGTTAAAATGATACAAGGACCTAAAATTTGCATAGTATTAGATATTTAAAAGAACACTAAATGTATTTAAAATATTTGGTTTGACAACTATCAAAAGTATTTTGTTTATTGTGGAATGAATGAACATGTGTGTATGTGTTAAAATATTAAAGTAGAATTTTTGAACATTTGGTAAAATTATATGTCATCTTTCAAAGCTGTATAGATAATTGAGAAAGTTGCTTTGTGACAGATTTATACTATTATTTTCTGGCCTCATCTTTTGAATTTCATTATTTTTTCATGTGTCTTTTGTAAATGACTGCTTTTCTCAGAAGAAAGCCAATACTAACTTTATCTGAGGGCTGTGCTCAAGGCCATTTGACCAGTGGTTTCTCTTGTTAGAAATAAAACTTTGGAACTTTGGGTGTGAAGTGTTAATTCATACCTCTATTTGAACTTTGCTTCTGCATTTTTAAATGAAAATATGAGAACCTCATTGTATAAGTAGATGAAAACAAAAGGATTCTAATTGTAAGTAATTATGGGAAGGTACATTTGCATAGTGGTCTCTGTAAACAGTTTGTAACCACTAAATTGAAGCTATTTACCATACCATACCAACCCACGGATATGATAAAATGATAAGAGAAATATATTTAGAATGAGTGAGCCATTATTTTCCCTCAAGTAGCCTTGTTGATTTTGCCCTCTTCCCAGTAACTGGCTTTTTTTTTTTAGAAGTTATTTTGAGTGTTATTTTTAGAAACCAGAGTTTCTTAGATAAGCATTTTATGTAAATAAAGAGAATATCATCTCTAGTCCGTAATACAGATTATCTTTCTTTGTAGAATTACTCCATGTCCGTGTATCTTGTACGACAGCTTACATCAGCCATGTTACTACAGAGATTAAAAATGAAAGGTATTAGAAACCCTGATCATTCCAGAGCACTAAGTAAGTAATGCTTGTGAAAGACCAAGCATATGAGATACTGTAATGTGATTAAAAACAATAAACTCACATATGCATCTATATTTATAATATTTGTGTATTTATTAGCTTATATATGGTAAATTGTATATATTACCTCATGGAAGAAATCAAACATGTTACCTCAGATAATAATTTTCAGTTGTCAGATGAGATAGTTTTTTCCATATTTAATATTGGAACATAATAGTTGTACATAATAATGGGATATGTTGATACATATTCATACATGCACACAATATAACAATTTGGCCCTCCCTAGCACTGCCCTCTTCCCACCCATTCTCCCACACTCTAGTCCTTTTCCTCTACTCATCTCCCTCGGATTTTTTGAGAATCCCTGCCACCTTTTCCTTTTTTCTGTAGCTTCCACATAGGAGAAAACATAATGACCCTTGACCTTCTGATTTTGACTTGTTTTGCATAGTACAATTGTCTCAAGTTCTGTCCTTTTTCCTGTAAATGACATATTTCATTTTTCTTTATGGCTGAATAAAACTTTGTTATGTGTATATACCACATTTTCTTTATGTGTCCATTCATTGATGGCCACCTAGGCTGGTTCCATAGTTTGACTGTTGTGACTTGTGCAGCTATAAACATGGATAATCTTGTATCACTATAGTGTGATGACTTTAATTCTTCAGGATAAACGCTGAGAAATGGTATAGCTGGGTCCTATGGTGGTTCCATTCTTAGCCTTTTGAGGAACTGGTGCTTTATAGTGGTTGTACCAATTTACAGACCCACCAACAGTATAAAGTCTTTCTTTATCTCCACATCTTCTCCAGCATTTATTATTATTTGTATTCTTTTTTTTAAAGAGAGAGGAGAGAGAGAGAGAGAGAGAGAGAGAATTTTTAATATTTATTTTTTAGTTCTCGGCGTACACAACATCTTTGTTTGTATTTGGTGCTGAGGATCGAACCCGGGCCGCATGTATGCCAGGCGAGCACGCTACCGCTTGAGCCACATCCCCAGCCCCATTATTTGTATTCTTGATGACTGCCATTCTGACTGGTGTGAGATTGAACCTCTGTAGTTTTTATTTGCATTTCCCTAATTACTAATGATGTTGAACATTTCATACATTTGTTGACCATTTGTATCTCTTTTGAGAAGTGTCTACTCATTAGCCCATTATTTAATTGGGTTATTTGATTTTGAGGTTATTCTTTATATTTTCTAGCTGTTAATGCTCTCTCAGAAGAGTGGCAAGATTTTCTCTCATTCTGTAGGTTCTCTCTTCCTAATTGTTTCCTTTGCTATGCAGAAGCTTTTTCATTGGGTGTTTTATGTGCTAGGGGTTGTTGAACTCGGGGGGCACTCAACCACTGAACCACATCCCCAGACCTACTTTGTATTTTATTTAGAAACAGGGTCTCTCTGAGTTGCTTAGCACCTCAGCTTTTGCTGAGGCTGGCTTTGAACTTGAAATCTCCTCCCTCAGCCTTCTAAGCTACAGGGATTATAGGCGTGCACCTATAATGTGGCTGTGCAGAAGCTTTTTAATTTGATGTCATCCCGTTTGTTAACTCTTAGCATTATTTCCTGAGCTTTACAGATCCTATTGAGAAAGTCATTGCTTATGCCTAAAAGCTGGCATGTTGACCCTACATTTTCTTCTAGAAGCTGCATAATTTCTGGTTTCTTAGGTCTTTGTTTCCTTTTGAGTTGACTTTTGTGTAGGGTAAGAGATAAGGGTCTATCTTTATTCTTCTGCATATGGATAGAACTAGTTTTCTGAGCATCATTTGTTTCTCCCAACCCCCACTGTATATTTTGGCACTTTTGTCAAGGATCAGTTGACTGTAAATGGGTGTGTTTGTCTCTGTCTTTTATTCTGTACAGTTGGGAGTCTGTGTCTGTTTTTATGCCAGTCCCATGCAGTTTTTGTTATTATAGCTCTGTAGAATAATTTGAAATAGGTATTGGGATGATTCCAGCATTGCTTTTTTGGCTTAGAGTTGCTTTGTTATTCTGGATTTTATTCCAAATTTTAGAACTGTTTTTTCTAGCACTGTGAAGCATTTTATTGGTAGTTTGATGGGGATTGCATTGAATCTCTACACTGCTTTTGGTAGTAGGGCCAACTATTAACTCTGCCTATCAATGAACATGGGAGGTCTTTTCATCTTCTGAGGTCTATTTCAGTTTCTTTCTTCAGTGTTCTTTAGTTTTCATTGTAGAGGTTTTTCAACAAGAAGATATAAGACTCTTTATGTCTTTACAAATTTAGTAATTGTTAGAAATAATCAGCGTAGCTTAATACAAATTTGTTAGAAAGAAATTTAAAAAATTTGTTAGAAAAGCATTGACGCTCAGGGTATTGCTACATTTGAGGTTCCTCTGCTAGTTATTGTTTTGTTCTTAAGTCTTAAAAAACAACTTTCTATTTTGTAACTCTTCTTTACCATCAGTCTTAGTTTTAAAAAGAAATCTTAAAACCTCACTTAAACATTTGATTTAAAGTTTGCATGTTTGTAATTCTTTAACCTAATACCACAAGTCTGGCTATATATTTAATACATTAATATTTAACATTTTGTGTTTCTTGACCTATTTGAAGTGCTTGGGAAATTATTTAAGTAAAATATTTTTATATTTTAGCTCATTTTCACTATTATTTAGAAACTTTTCATTGTATTTCACTCTTCTTTTTCATTTTTTTTTTTTTTTTTTTTTTTAGTTAAAGAAAAACTTACTGCAGATCCAGATAGTGAAATTGCTACAACTAGTCTTCGGGTATCCTTAATGTGCCCTGTAAGTAAACTGGCAAAACATTCTAGGTAATTTTACTTTGTAGAAATGATTAATTTTCTTATAAAATAATTGTGAGAATTAATGATGTAATTTGATAGAAGTCTGAACTTCCGTTTTTTACCATTTGGAAATCTACATGATTAAGTATTATAATTCTTTGTAGTCTTCAGGTAGTGATAGAGGAGAAATTTAAAGGCCATTATATCAAAGAAGAAAGATAACATTAGACTCAGAATAATCTGTCATGGTTAATACTGTAGACAATCCATAGCTGCTAAAAAACTTATAGTAGGGCTGGGACTCAGTGGCAGAGCATTTACATGTGAGGTACTACGCTTGATCCTTAGCACCACCTAACAAAATAAGCAAAATAAAATAAAGGGATGGTATCTATCTAAAACTACAACAAACAACAAAAAAACATGTCGTAAAAGGTGGCTCCTTTTGTGAGAATACACGTGGTATTGAAAAAATACTAATAAAATAACAATGGCCTAATAAATGCTAATTGATGATCTTGGATTATTAAGTTAGGATATCTTTGTAAGGTACTTTGAATTACATAATTTTGTGTATCCTTATGTAGAAATTTAGTTGAGAAATCACTCAACGATCCCAAGATCCTCCGATGAGTTTCCAACTGAACTAATTCAGCATGAAAGTGCTGAGGACTTGCCATGAGTTGTTGGAAAGTTAATACTAGTTTGAGAGATAAAACCAACTCCAGTGATAAAACATCAGATTGTATTTATCAGATATGAGGAGATGGGAAAGGACGGGGATGGTGGATGAAGATTTCTCTATAAAATTAGTGGAAGAAAAACCTTTTAATAAGATTTTAGGATAAAATTTATAGAATAAGGAATCTATAATGTAGTTTTGGGGACATTGGATGACTCCCCACCATTGTGAGAAAAGTGTGTGTTTTTGTCTGTTTTTTTTAATGGACATTAAGTTGTGTCAGAAGTGAGATCCTACTTGGTGCTTCTTATTTAACTGTCTTAGCAAGCCTATATTGAATAGTTGTCCTGACTTTGTGTGTGTGTGTGTGTGTGTGTATGTGGTGGTGGGGAAATTGAACCCAAGGCCTCACACATGCTAAGCAAGCACTCTGCCACTGAGCTACATCCCCAACTCAGTTTCAGTGATTTTGTAGATGAGAAAACCAAGACAGATACAGGCTGGTCAACCCAAATCACACATTTAGTAGTAGAACAAAAATAAAAATTTTGAATGTTATTCTAGTTTTTTTTCCCAATAACTGCTGCCAAATTGGGCTAAAATATACATGTCCTAATTATAAATGTACCTTCTGTTAACCTGGAAAATGATATTTGCAGTTGTCTTCTTTCCTGAAATTTTGTTATCATCATTAATTTAAAATAATTTCCTTTTATTGGGCTGGGGATGTGGCTCAGCGGTAGCACGCTCGCCTGGCATGCGAGTGGCCCGGGTTTGATCCTCAGCACCACATACCAACAAAGATGTTGTGTCAGCCAAGAACTAAAAAATAAATATTAAAAAAAAATTCTCTCTCTCTCTCCCTCCTCTCTCACACTCTCTTAAAAAAAAAAATTCCTTTTATTGAAAAAATGTAGAATTTAGTGAAATGGGGATTGATGAGAAATTGGTACCCTCTGTGGCTATCAAACTCAGAAGTTGTGCACTCCCAGCAAAGGAGGATGATACCTGAGGTAGTGGCAGAGGTTCTAGTGGATAGTGGCTTGGACCCTAACTTCCTCTTTTTATAAGCTTGACACAAGCTTCTGACATGGGTTTGAGAATCTCCACATTACCTTTTTGTTCCTTGTAATATTAAAATTGATACCAGATTAAAACAAATGAAATTACTGTTTTTTGGTTAAAAATAGTTGCATTTTGACAGATTTTTAAATGGTTTTTAATGACCCCACTATATTTAGCAGGCATTAATTGCAGACTCTCTAGGAGTTTAGTCATGGTATGGAGAGGGAACTCATATATAACCTATATGTTTTAGTTTATCAAGCTATTTTACCAGAAAGTAAGTACTGCTATACAGTTTCCCAAAGGAGTTCTACAGTGTTACAATGCTATTTTCTCTAATAAGTCTTATTTTCTTAGAACCTTAACCCTCCTTTAAACAGACTGCCCATTCTACATGAGAACAACCAAAACACAATGGCAAACATACTGAAGGATTCTCAGACTTTAGTATTCTTTTTATATAAAAATAGGGAGCAGTTCATTTTAAATAAAGTTGACAATTTTAAGAAAATTAACTTTTCAATTATTTGAAGAAGTCAAATCATATAGCATTTCATTTATTTTTGTGGTGCTGGAGATTGAACACAAGCCTTCACTCATGGTAAGCATGTACTCTGACCTACATACACCCATGGCCCCATCCTGTATTCATTAAATGTTTCCTTTTGGGCTGGGGATGTGGCTCAAGCGGTAGCGCGGCATGCGTGCGGCCCGGGTTCGATCCTCAGCACCACATACCAACAAAGATGTTGTGCCCGCTGAAAACTAAAAAATAAATATTAAAAATTCTTTCTCTCTCTTAAAAAAAAATTAAAAATAAAAATAAAATGTTTCCTTTTCTCTGTTTATAAGTGACAACAGGTCTATTTCTGAGCTACATTTCCTCAGAATTTATCTTTCTTGATGTTCTCAAGAGCTTTATAAGAGTAGATAGTACTCTTTAGACCATAGTGATATTAAAATAGATTGGGTAGTTAAACTGTAATATATGGTATAAATCAAAATCTAATGCAGATGTCTTGGTAAGATTTAATGGGTAGTTAACTGACAGATGTTAGCAGATTAAAGTAGTTTTTGAAGAAGAAGCAGTTCTAGCATCAGTTAGAGAAAGCAGAATGGAGTCCCAGCCAGCAAACTATGGAAATAACATGGGATTTGGTACAATAATGGGAAATAAAGAAGGAAAAAAAAGGTCTTAGTTACTTAGAAGGATAAAGAGTGAACCCTGGGTTTATTTGGGAACAAAACAAGAGAAAATGATAGCTCAGAGTGATGGAAGAAATGTTTGTTTTATTTCATAAGAAGCTTGTGAAATTATTTAGAGTAGATGTGAGTCTGGGAAATGGGAACAAGTCTCAAGACCTCTGTCCTAGGGACCTGCAGGAGGTAGTTTCACAGTATTATTGAAGAGGGATCTGATTAAGCATGTATAATTTTATTTGTGGAAATAATATGTGACTTTTTTTTTTTTAAAGAGAGAGTGAGAGAGAGAGAGAGAGAGAGAATTATATAATATTTATTTTTTAGTTCTCGGCGGGCACAACATCTTTGTTTGTATATGGTGCTGAGGATCAAATCCGGGTCGCACGCATGCCAGGCGAGCGCGCTACCACTTGAGCCACATCCCCAGCCCAATAATATGTGACTTTTATATAGGAGTTTTACCTTGTGATATCAGCTAGTGATATTCAGTGTGTCCTGCAGAGTAGGTGTGCTGGGTCGCTGGGGGATAAGGAAGATGGATTTGATTTTTTTACCTCTTGAGATTTTTAAATTATAGAATTATTTAATTGGGACAGGAAGAGTAAAGAAATGAAAAATTCAAATGGTCAAGGTCTACTATTTGAAGTAATATTACTCATGGAATGTGATTTTTTTTCTAGATTTAGCTCTTGTGTTCATAATCATATGCATGTTAGAAAAAAAATGTTTTATATATACTGTGCAGCTTGTCTTTTTTTTTTTTTTTTTTGGTGGTGGTGGTGTTGCTGGGGATTGAACCCAGGGCCTTGTGCATGGAAGATAAGTACTCTACCAATTGAGCTATTTTAAAATTAATAGTATATCCTAAATACGTTAGTATGTATAGATCATTATAGGCATTTTGTTGAATGGGGTAAGTGTAACTTATTCAACCTGTTCTGGTGACTATTTGCTTATATTGATTCCTAAATATTTTATTTAAGAAATGATTGAAAATTCAGAAATAAAATATTTATGCTAATACTATTTAAATAATAAGTGATAACAAAAGGATGTCTACTAGGAATGCAGAGATAGTTTTGGTTTAGAAAAATCTGTTAAAACTATTCATCTTATAATTGAAAGGAATTTTTTTAAAAGCCCATGATCATCTCATAGAATGTCAGATAGTTAGCATCTATTCCTAATATATCAAAAGCTTAGCAAAATAGGAAAAATTGATGGTTAAACCCCCAAACATGTGTAATGTTATAAAGCTAGGGACATCTCAAGGCAGTGAGGAGCATTAGGATTTGTGTTGTAATATTAGCTGTTCTCAGTGGGTAAGTTATTTTACTTCTTGAGCATCTGCATCTTCGACACAAATTAAATATAGAGATGCCAACTTCTCTGGGTCATAGGATTATGAGGATTATAGGAGGTTTCTATAAAAACTCTTAGCATATTGTAAGATTCTAGGTAACTTAAGGAATAATCTGTTTTAAAAGAAGAAAAAATATGGAAGTATGTAGAGTAAGAGGAGAAGTTTCCTCAGGTTTTATTCTGTTTTCTTTTCTCAATGATGAGTTATAGTGTACTGCATGCTTGCTTAAACATTTAACTTCTAAGATTCCTTTTAGAATTCTAGTTAGATGAATAGCTAGAGGCAATATAGCACAGTAACAAGGATGTCTTGTAACAAGCCCAGATCTTAGCTCTGCCTTATTTCTAACTTCATGTAATATTAAATTGATTCCTTGTGCCTTTGTTTTTTCTCATTAATAAAATGGAATGTTTTATATTTAAAGATGTAAAAGGTATGATTGTTTAAATGTAAAAGTATGGCTGGATGCAGTGGCGCACACTTGTAAACAACTACACAGAAGCAGGGGGATTGCACATTCAAGGCCAACCTAAGCAACTTAGATCCTGTCTCAAAATAAAACTGAAGGGAAGAAAGAAGCATTGTGGGTGTAGCTCTGTGGTCGAGTTCCCTAGCATGTGTGAAGCCCTGGATTCAATCCCCAGTACATAAATAAATGATAGTAAGTAAAAGTGTTATTGGAATTAGTGAAAAGTAACTTGCACATAGGCGAGTTCTGTAAGCATTAGTTATTGCCATGTTGATTTAGCTAATTGTTTCATTTTTAAATTACAAAATTATGAACACTTACATAATTATAGATGAAGTAGAAAGGAGGGAATATTCTAAAAATTCTACCACCCAAGCAATATTAAGAATGTTCTGATTTTGTTTCTGAATTTTTTTCAAATTTTGTAGTGCGTATAAAGAAGTTTTTTCTTTTTTTTAATATCTCTTTGCCACTTTCCAATTATTCATTCTACTACCTGATAAGCAAATACTGAGCACTTACTATGAGGTAGTATTGTGCTTGGACAGTGAAATTACAGTGGGCAACAGATGTAGGCCTTGGCCTTGTGAGAGCTCTATTGTGGGAGAAACACTTTGACTCAAATTACTAGAGCTCACTAAAAATGGAGATACTTTTGGTAAATAAAATATATGGGGAGATTAAGAGTTACATAGAAAAATATAATCTGATCTCATCTGAGTATTATATATATGTTGGTGCAGTAGAGCTAAACCAATTGCAATAGCATTTGAACAAAATGTAATTTAGAAAAGTACATTGAAAATTGACATGATTATAAAAAGTATGCTTAGCTTATATCAAACATACAAGGCTGATCTGTCTCATGTAAATAAATTCTACAAATATATGATCAACATTAATGACCAAATGAAAAATGAGGAAAGGTTTTATATGAATAAATAGTTATTAGAAACACAGGTGACTCTTAGAAGTAGAAGAGGAGGCTCTACAATGTCTTATAATTAACAGAAATGCAGTTTACACTCTTGGAATATTTCTTATTTCATAAAAATCAAAGAATTACAAAACACTGTATTGGCAAGGTTACATGGAACCAACAACATTTAATGTGTGCATAAGTGAGTAGGTATCTCTGTGGAAGGTGGTTTGTCATTGGGACTGAGATCATACATGTTCTCCCCCCCCCCCTTTTTTTTCGGTTGTGCAGAGGATTGAACCCAGGGCCTTTGTGCATGTGAGGGAAGCACTCTATCAACTGAGCTGTATCCCCAGTCCTTTCCTTTCCCTTTGACCTCAAAATTTAATTCCTAGGTACTTAGCTTTTCTCACTACAAAGATTGGAAACAATTTAAGTGTCCATCACTAGTGTACTTATTAAATAAATTATGCCTTTGTGTAATGGTAGTTTTATATATACTGACTTGTGTATAATAGTCACCAAATTATGTGAACAGGGTAAGTTGCAAAAGTGGGTGTAAAATATGCCACCATTTGTGGAAAAATACTTTCCTTAAATATCCATAGGACATCTATGAAAAAACATGTAAGAAATGGATACAGTGGTTTCCTTAAATAGGAAAACTGAGGACCAGTTGAGAAGTATTGTTTTCATTGTATCTTTTTCTACCAGTGCATTTATACATTGCTTATTTTAAAAAGTAAAATGGTTTTTCAAAAACCACAAAGCAGTTTGTGAATTTAAAAAAAATAATAATTTAATAGTAATAAATTTAGGTTTGTATTTCATTTTGATGGTTCTTGAGACTTTTTTCTCTGTTCCCTTTGAGGTTTTGTCCTCGTTTTTGAACTACTTTCCATGTTGTATCCCCTGTCCTATAGTTAGGAAAAATGAGGCTGACAATCCCATGCCGTGCAGTGACTTGTACACATCTACAGTGCTTTGATGCTGCCCTTTATCTACAAATGAATGAGAAGAAGCCCACCTGGATTTGTCCTGTGTGTGACAAAAAAGCTGCCTATGAAAGTCTAATACTAGATGGGTAAGTATATGCTCTCCCATTTTAGAGGGCACTGGCGATTGAATTCAGGGACACTCAGCCACTGAGCCATATCTCCAGCCCTATTTTATATTTTTATTTAGAGTCAGAGTCTCACCAGGTTGCTTAGGACCTCACAATCCTGCTTCAGCCTCCCAAGCTGCTGGGATTATAGGTGTAAGCCATTGTGGCCTGGCTGGTACTCCCTTTTTTGGCGCTTAGGGATCCAACCTATGGCCTCTTGAATGCTATGCATAAGCTCTACCACTGATCTATATCCCCCAGCTCACTGTATCTCTTTTAATAGCTGTTGGCTGTGGCTTCCTTTAGTATGGCCTTATAAATTCTACTCTAGCATAAAATTCAGATGTTTGTGCATTTTCTATTTTACATTTAAGTACACATAGCTTCCTTTTAAGCTAGTTATTGGTGCTTTATGTTTTTTTGATTAATTTATTTGTTCTAGTTTGTTAAACATGACAGCAAAATGCATTTCAATTCATAGTACATATATACAGCACAATTTTTCATGTGTCTGGTTGTACACAAAGTAGACTCACACCATTTGTGTCTTCATACATGTTCTTAGGGTAATGATGTCCCTCTCATTCCACCATCTTTCCTACCCCTAAGCCCCCTCTCTTTATGTTTTCCTTTTACAGGTTGAGTATCCACTAACTGAAATGCTTGAGACCAAAGCATTTTACAGTTTAGAGTATTTCAGATTTTGGAATACTTGGATAGATTTTTCCAGTTGAGCACCCCTAATCTAAATATCCCAAATAGAAAATGCTCCAAAAACTGAAAGTTTTTGATTGTCCTTTTAGTCCTCAGAATAGTTTCAGAGTTTTGATCAGGGATGCCAAACCTGTAATATAATTTGTATTGGGGAAAGTAGGTATACAGTTTCCTTTTGTTTTTGCCTCCCAAGATCTTTTTATAAAAGCCTGTAGGTAAGAGGGAAATCTGCTTCAGTGAAATCATTTTGTTTACCTAAAATCTCTTATAATAGCAATTAGGGTCTTTGAAATAAACCATAGAGTGGCAGGATAGATAGTCACAGAGGTGGTAGATTCATACTGGAATTCACACTCAGGTTATTCTGATTCTGGAGCCCAAATTCTAAACATTATTTCTTATATTGCATGTCAGAATATGGAAAATTCTAGGAAATAATTTGAATAAGTGAGGTATTCTTTTTTTTTTGAATGACCTTTTTAAAAAATTAATACATCATCTATGTACCACTGTAAGATTTAGAAAATACAGTTAATGAAGTTATTAAAATAACCAGTAATCTCATCCTGTGGTGTTGACTTTGTAATTTATATTGAAATAGTTAAATCCTACTTTACTTACATGATTTTCACTCAGTATATAGTGAAAACTTTTCAGAATGTTTTACTTTCGAGAATAATGGGGCACTTGTGAGAGAAAGTGATTTTCACCCTTCCCTCTAAACTTCCTTTTTGCTGGATATTTTTGTGATAATTTCAGCTTATTTTGAAAGAATTTAAGATAATAGTAAAGAAGTGGAAACAGTAGTGCAACCTCAGTATCAGATTTGACCCAGATGCATCAGTTGTTAACCTTCTGCCGCAATTGTTTCTTCACATTCCGTTCATATATATATATGTATGTATATACATTTTTGGTGTGTTGCATGAATGGGTATACACAGAAAGAATTATTACTATTTATAGATTTGTTTTGAACCATCTGAGAGTTTCTCATGTTCCTGTCTTTTCGCACTTTAATATTTTAGGATATTATTTGTTTCTACTTTTCTGTTTTAAATTGCCTTGTGATATAATCATTTTGGAAGGTGACATTTTCTGTATGTTTATGGAGTTCTTAAGATTTCTGAAACAGAAATCTTGATTCAAAAAGTGAATGGCTTTAAGACAGCATTATTATGATGCCTCTCATAGTAAGCTGTTTACACTAGTAGTAAAATCATTTTAGTCTCTTGCCAGCAGATATATCGCCTACTTCTTAGTCCCTCTTATCAGTCTTACATATTAAATCTTATTTTTAAAATGCCTCCCAATTTCCTGATTGAAAATTATGTCTCATGTTTTGATTTCTACATCTTGTATTATTAGAATTATTAGCTACCTATTTTTATTCCATATGTTGATCATTATAATATCTTTTGTGAATAACCTGCTAGGGTTTCCTTTCTTTTCTAGGACTGTTCATCTTTTTTCTTACTGATTTGTAAGTGGTCATTATATAGTAAGAGTATTTCATTGTTTATATGTGCCAAATGTGTTTTCCTAGTCTGTTTACCTTTTAATTGTACTTATTATAATTATTTTTCATTTAGAAGTTTCACATTTTTGTTTCATCAAGGATGTTCCTTTTGAATTTCTTTTTTTTTTTTTTTTTTTAAAGAGAGAGTGAGAGAGGGGGACAGAGAGAGAGAGAATTTTAACATTTATTTATTTTTTCTTAGTTCTCGGCGGACACAACATCTTTGTTGGTATGTGGTGCTGCCGAGGATCGAACCCGGGCCGCACGCATGCTAGGCGAGCGCGCTACCGCTTGAGCCACATCCCCAGCCCCTCCTTTTGAATTTCTGTCCTTCATGCATTTAAGAAGTCCTAGAGATTTTAAATAATCATTCACTTGTTTTTCATCAGATACATTTATGATTGTTTTTCAGTCATGCAGTTCTTCATTTTGTTGTGTATTCCTTCAAGAATTAAGCATATTTACCAAATACCTATTATCTGTAGATGTTGCATATTAAATGCTATGGAGACAAAGAACTGTACTGCGTCAGGAATATTGGAATGGGGAAGATATTTTTTTTTTTTTTTTTTTTTTGGGTACTAGGGATTGAACTCAGGGACACTCAACTAGTGAGTCACATCCCCGGTACTGTTATTGTATTTTTATTTAAAAACAGGGTCTCACTGAATTGCTTAGTGCCTTGCCATTGCTGAGGCTGGCTTTGAACTTGCAATACTCTTGCTTCAGCCTCCTCAGCCACTAGGATTACAGGCTTGTGCCACCGTGCCCAGCCGGGAAGAAACTTATGGTAGAGTGCAGTTTATGGTAGAGAGTAGGTGATGCTATTAGGATTAAGTATCCTACCATCCTGCCACTCATTGTTAATAGTTTCGGCATTTATTGAACAGCAGTTAGCTCTTCCTTGTACTTTTGTGGTAGTTACTATCAGCATCATCACTCCATTCTTATAGTTCAGTATGATTAAGGCAAATAAATGGCTCATGAAGGAGGCATTCTTTTCTCCCCCATTTATATCAGCTGTATTGAGGTATAAGAACTACATATATATAACATATACAGTTTGCTAAATTTTGACCTATATGTATGTAAACTCTTCACTCCAATTAAGATAATGAATATATCCATCACACTATATATCTTTGTGATCTTTCCCTTTTATTCAGTCCTCTGGCAGACATTATGTACTTTCTGTTTCTGTACAGTGGTTTCCTTTGTTCAGCTTCTTTTACTCAGCATACTTATTTGAAATTCATCCACTTTTCTGTGTGTACCAACAGTTGATATTTGGGGAGAGTGGGTACCAGGAATTGAACCCAGAGACACTTAACCACTGATCCACATCCCCAGTCCCTTTTTATATCTTATTTACAGGAAAGGTTTTGCTCTTTTGCTTAGGGCCTCACTAAGTTGCTAAGACTGGCCTTGAACTCAGTCCTCTTACCCCAGCCTCCCGAGCCTTTGGGATTACAAGCATGCACTACCACGCCTGACAACAGTTCACCTTTAGTACATAGTTCACTGAATTGCATTTCACTTGTAGTATAGGGATATCATAGTTTAACTTTTCACATGTTTTGGAGTTGTTTCTGGTTTTGAGTTATGGCAAATACAGCATCTGTGAATATTCATTCCCAGTCTTTGTGTAGATGAATATTTTCATTTATCTTGGATAAATGCTTAGGAATGAAATACCTGGTTGCATTCTAGGCATATGTCTAAGAAACTGCTGAACTGTTTTTTCTAAAATGGTTGTCATATTTTATATTCTGATTAGCACTATGTGAGAATTGTAGTTGATTCACATTCTCACCAACATTGGTATGACTAATCTTTGATTTTTGCTGTAGCCTATAGCCATATATACCACTATCCCATTGTGAATTTAATTTTTATTTTCTATTGCTAGTTGTGTTGAGATCTATTTGTGTATTAATTCTCCATCTGACACTTTCCTTGAAGTGACTGTTTTTTAATTTTGCCTATTTTTTAATTGTTTGTTTTCATATTACTAAGTTTTGATGAGTTCGCAACTATTTTCTACCATTTTTTCATCTTTTTAACCTGTTTTTTCAGTATCTATCAAATAGCAGAAGTTCTTAACTTCTAGGAAGGCCAATTTAACAAGTTTTTCTTTTATGGATTATACTTTTGATATCACATTTCCCTCTAACTGAAGGCCCCAAAAATTTTGTCTAATGCTTTCTCAAGAATTTTTAAACTTTTATATTTAGATCTATCTACATGAATTTAAAAAAAGATCGATCGAGGTTTATTATTACTACTTTCTGGTATATAGCCATATGATTGTTCTCCCGTCATAGGTTTTTTTTTTTTTTTTTTTTGTCTTCCCCAAAAATCAGTTGATCATATGTGTGTGAATCTATCTTGGACTCTGTTCTGTTGATTTATTTTTCTATATTTGTATTAGTACTACACTCTCTAGAAATTAGGTAGTATGAATTTTCCAACTTTTTTTTTTCCCAGAAAACTGGAATTTTGATTTGTATTGTCCTGATCAACAATATTGAGGCTTCTGATACATGAACGTGATAGATCTATTTTTCAGTAATGTAGTTTTCAGTCTATCTTCTACATCTTTTATCAAATTTATCCCTAAATATTTTATATTGTTGACACAGGCTTCTGTTTTTTTTTTTAATTCTATTTATTCCTAATATTAGAAACATAATTGATTTCTTTATATTGCTTTCATATCTTGAACTCAGTAGTTCCAAAAACTTTATTGAAGTTTACATTGGATTTTCTCTTTCTTTCTTTCTTTCTTTCTTTCTTTCTTTCTTTCTTTCTTTCTTTCTTTCTTTCTTTCTTTCTTTCTTTCTTTCTTTCTTTCTTTCTTTCTTTCTTTCTTTCTTTCTTTTATATTTATTCTTAAGTTTTAGGTGGATATACAATATCTTTATTTTGCATTTATGTGGTGCTGAGGATGGAACCCTGTGCCTCGTGCATGCTAGACGAGCACTCTACCACTGAGCCACAAGCCCAGCCCCTACATTGGATTTTCTACAAGATAGTTGTGCTTCTTACTTTTGTGTCTAGAATCTTCTTTGTGATAAGATTTTTAACTACAAATCTAAAATCTATAATAGGCAGAGCTTCTGAGGTTACTATTTCTTGTTGAGTGAATTTAAATAAATCTGATAGAAGTTTGTAGTTTTACTGATCTGTTCAGAAAATCAGCCTTTGGTTTCATTGTTTTTTCTATTTTATTTATTTCATCTCTGTTTTTTATTTCCCTTTTGAAATATTTATTTTTGCTTAACTATAATTTTCTGTTTATCAAATAAAGTTTTTGGACCATTTCTAAAAAGGGGGGTATAAGTGCTATTTTCTGTTTATTACTGTTGTAGCTATAATTCACAAATTTTATTGTATTTTCATTCTGTTCATAATACTTTACAGTTTTTATTTTTATTTTTCATATCTTACAGAGCATTTAGTTTATAAATATTGAGAATTTTCCAGATATTTTTCTAATTCTGACTTCAATTTTATTTCCATTTTAGTCACAGAAAATAATGTATGCTTTGAATTATTTGAAATTTATTAAGACTTTATTGCCTTTCTTCCTCTTCTCACCTGTTTTCCTTTTTTCTTGATATTAAAGCTTATAAATTATTTTATTGTATAATAGCCTTTGTCTACTCATGTTTGTTTTATAATCTATATTTGAGGTTGTTCTTTAAGGCCACTTATAGCTAGGAGACTCGAGATGTCTATTTCTGTTTTAGTCACTGATATTTTAGATCATTGATATTTTAGATCATTAGGCAATACTCATTGCCTATTACACACCTAAAACTTGGCTCATGATTAGCTCAGTGGTAGAACACTTGCCTAGCAAGGATGAGGTTCTAGGTTGAATCCCCAGTAACATAAAAATAAATGAATTAATAAACAAATACTTAAAAAATAAGTAAATAATCAGTCCTTGGAGGAAGAGGGCATATAGTTGCTATGAAGTGTTAAGTATTGAAATATTAAAAAAAATAAAAAGTCAGAAAACATTACTTTTTCTTGTTGAGTGAATTTAAATAAATCTGATAGAAGTTTGTGAGTTTTACTGATAAGATTTTTAACTATAAATCCAAAATCTTTAATAGGCAGAGCTTCTTTTGTACACTATTTACTTAATATTTGAACAGAGCCATTGACATGTATGTACTTCTTAATTGGTTTTCAGGCTTTTTATGGAAATTCTCAATGACTGTTCTGATGTGGATGAAATAAAATTCCAAGAAGATGGTTCTTGGTGTCCAATGAGACCGAAGAAAGAAGCCATGAAAGTTTCCAGCCAGCCATGTACAAAAATAGAAAGTATGTGCACAATGCCATCAGAGAGCAAAGCCAGGAGATTTGTACAACATTATCTTTTTAATGAACCTTGACTGCTAGACCTATTTTTGGATTTCAGTTCACTAAGTTTTATCTTTTATTATTTATTTATTTATTTATTTTAGTTGTAGATGGACACAATACCTTTATTTTGTTAATTTATTTATATGCAGTGCTGAGAATTGAACCCAGTGCCTCATACATACCAGGCAAGCGTTCTACTACTGAGCTACAACCCAGCCCTAAGTTTTATCTTTTGATCATCTATCACATGTAATTTCTTATGAAATATGCAGAAGGTTTAATACCATCTTTTCATTGTGTAGTTTTCATATGCAAAATAAATAAAGTCACTAATAATTTTAATAAATTATAAAATGTTAGCTATAAAATGAAAACTTAGAAAATGACATACAGTTTTTTAGAATTCTTTTGAGAGTTTCTGTAGGTAAAACCTCAGGTGGAATTCAGGGATTGCATCAGAGTGAAAAGAGAAGAAAAACTAAAGAAGTTTTACTAATATTAGTTATTTCCCTGCAGTTGGAAGATTGCAATGGCCAAGGTTTCCCTTATCTTTGAGAAGAATGGGAGTGATTTAATTGATAGTTACTGCTGCTTTTTCCTTTATAAACTAACATTCATTTTTTACTAAACAGAGTTTAAGAATAATACTTTTATATTAAAATGAGTTGATATATAATGTATTAGACTATCCTAATGGACCAAAAGAAACTTGATGATTAATAGAGGATTCATAAGAAAATTTTAAATGTCTAAATCACTCGTACAAGTTTGGGATTTTTTTCTGTTTATCAAGTTGACAATTTTTATCAAGTTTTTGGCTCATGATGAGTCTATAAATTGTTTAGTATGAACGTGATTGCTTGAATGGAAATACCCGATTCTGACTTAACTGGACCACGAATCTGTGAATATGCAACTGGTGAAACATATACTCTTATCCTTTGAACAGTTTCCTAACCTCTGAGTCTCTCTGTACTATGACTGCTTACCTGGGAATACCACATGAGCAGTAGCAAGAGTCCAGTTACCTCTTTGACCTCTGTCAAAGAGTAATGCTCATGTTGCCTCTCCACGTTAGCAGTTATTTCACAGATATCCGGAGTTAGGGAACTGAACTCCGTCAGTTGGATAGAGTATGTAGCTTCCCTGGCTGTGTGTTATCATCCTTTACTATATAGTTAAGACTGTGACGGATAGAGTTTGTGTTATACCATTGATGTTTTTGTTTTCCTTCTCTTTTTCTGCATCCAGCTTCAAGTGTACTCAGTAAGCCTTGTTCAGTGACTGTAGCCAGTGAGGCAAGCAAGAAGAAAGTGGATGTTATTGACCTAACAATAGAAAGCTCTTCTGATGAAGATGAAGAACCTCCTGCCAAAAGGAAATGCATCTTTATGTCAGAAACACAAAGCAGCCCAACCAAAGGGTTTGTTAATTTATAGTTCACTATTGTTCATTACCCTTGCCACTAATTGTTCTTAGGATAGATTTGTAAATATCTCTTTGGGAAGTTGCATAACCATAGAAGGCAATTTTAATTTGCTTTTGTTTGGTTGAATTATTTTCAAGAAAACATATTGTTTATAGGAAAGCAAATTTTGTTGAAGAAAATATTCACATATCTGAGAAGTGAGACTGAGGTATTTATTTCATATATGATACCCTTTGTTATTTTATTGAATTTTTTTTTACTACAAATTTTTTTCTCTCATTTTTTTTAATTGGTGCATTATAGTTATATGTAATGGTGGCTTTTATTGTTACATATTCGTACATGCACACTTGGTATAACAATATAATTTATACAGTATCACTCCCCAGCACTTCCTCCACCTTTCTCTCCCTCCTACCCAGTGGTCCCTTTTTTCCCCTTTCTTCTACTTATCTCTCTTTGATTTCCATAAGTTCACTGCCCCCCACCCCATGCTCATCTTTTTCTTTTTCCTCTTGACCTTCCACATATGATAAAACGTACAACCCATGCCCTTCCCACTTTGGCTTTTTTCACTTAACATAATGGTTGTGGGTTCCATCCATTTTTCTACAAAAACTTATTTCGTTTTTCTTTATGAAATAAGAAATAAAACTCCATTATGTGTATATACCACATTTTTTTTTTTTAAATCTGGCCATTCGTTAATGGGCACCTAGATTGATACCATAGTTTGGCTGTTGTGACTTGTGCAGCTATAAACATGGGTAAGCATGTATTACCATAGTATGATGACTTTAATTCTCTAGGATAAGGGCTGAGGAGTGGTGTAGCTGGATCCTGTGATGGTTCCATTTTTTGCCTTTTGAGGAACCTCCATATTGGTACTCCATAGATAAGTGTTCCCTTTTGTCCACATCCTCTCCGGTATTCATTATTGATTATTCATTTGTATTCTTGATGACCTGTCATTCTGACTGGTGTGAAATGAAATCTCTACTGTAGTTTTGATTTGCATTTTCCCAATTGCTAATGATGTTGAACATTTCCTCCTATATTTGTTGGCCATTTGTGTTTCTTTCTTCTTCTTTTTTTTTTTTTTTGAGAAGTGTCTGTTTAGTTCATTTGCCTATTTATTAATTGGGTTGTTTGATTTTTTGTGTGTGTGTGTATAAATTTTTTTGAGTTTTTTATATATTCTAGATAATAATGCTCTGTCAGAAGAATAGCAAGATTATCTGCCTTTCTGTTGGTTCTGTCTTCACATTCCTAATTATTTCTTTAACTGTGCATAAGTTTTTTAACTTGATGCCATTCCACTTGTTAACTCATGACATTACTTCCTGAGCTTTAGGGGTTCTATTGAGAAAGTCATTTCTTAAATCTTTTTTGTGAGGAACCATTTTTTCATGTCTCAGGCCATTGTGAGGAAGCCTGGTGTAATAGAGTGTGGAATTGGAAATCTTCTAAAAACAAATATCAATTCTGGCACTTGCTTCTTTGCTCTATGGTTTTGGTTGAAATCCTTAAGTTGAGCCACCTTTTTCTGTTCTGTAAAATGGGATGAAATAATGCCTACTTTATGGGATTGATATCAGGTTACAATGAGATAATGAAAGAACTTAGCTTTTGTTGTCAGGCACATAATAGTTACTCAATGAGAATTGATTCCCTTACCTTTTCTCCCACTCCAGGGTAAAATGAGGGCAAATAATGCATTTTTCATACACTTTCTGTGACTCATCTGGCAGAAACCATTCCAATTTGGTCTGAGTGTTTAATGATAGATGCTTCTCAGAGATTTTGGAAGGTGTAATGGATCTTCACCATTCCATCACACATTGTTTTCAAACTTGGAAGTGCTAATCTCATCATTGCTGGCTTCTCAGTCTGTTTATTTTTTTCTTAGTTTTTTTTTTTTACATGCCATAAAGTCCACTCATCCTAAGTATAGAATAGCACAATTCATTCCTTTTTATTAAATTCATACAGTTCTATAACCATCATCACAAGTCAGTTGCAGAATATTTCCAACACTCAAAAAACATCATATTCCTTTGGAGGTTATTCCTATACACACTCCAGAATTAGGTAACCATTTTTATCTCCTAATTTACCTGTTTTAGACATATTTTTTTATAAATGGAATTACACTCAATACACTTTAACAGCATTCTTTTTTGTAACTTTTTAAAAACTTACATTCTGACTACTTTTTAAAGTTACTTTTAAGAACTAAACTTTTGTTCTTCCTTGTAAAATACTTAAATTTTCAGATATGATTTATATATCTAAGGACTTGTATTTTTAGAATGTTTTTTTTTAGTGGAATAGAAAAAGATGAAAGTAATTGGTCTGGATTTCTTCTGCCATGCTGATCACTTATTGCTCCCTTGAGGGATTTTGTTTGGCATTTCTATAATTTGAATGACAAAAAGTGAAAATATAATTTTGAAGTGTTTACTGAGGTGTAGAATCAGAAAAAATGAATGCTTACATATGGTATTTCTACATATTACTTTCTCATGATATCATTTAGAATATGCTGGAAAGATGAGTTGCAAATACTGTTTAAGTTGGATTTATTCCTTGAATGAATGCATAAATGCATATTTTAAAAGATATGCATTGATGCTGGCTCATGAGTTAATGTGATTGTAGAGAGTTGCTGGTGGCATGCCACAAGGGTTTAATCCTTTGAGTATTCTGTACCACATTTTATCAGTACTTGATAGGGACATGACACTGGAGGAATGACATATACATTGGGTAGCAAAATCTGAAGTGACCACAAAATGCAAAGGAATAAAGGTAGTTTATACCTGTGGTCAGCTACTATAGAGATAAATATTAAGACCCCTCATCTAAGTTGAAAAGAAGGTCATAACTAACTCTGGTTAGTGTAAGGTGAAAGTATATGATTAAATCAACATATGGCAATTTAGTTTTAAGAATTTTGTGTGAATTTCAGCTACCCAGCTCCTTCCATGAAATCAGCATAACCCTCAATACCCAAATTAGGTTATCACCATATAGAAGAATAGGTTCACATGGAAAGATAAGTGAAAATTCTGAACTTAATTTTAGGAAGTCTTATAATTATGTATTAAAATGACATCCATTATGACCAAGTAGAGCTTATTCTAGGAGTGCTTTAATATTAGGAAATAATAAAGTGAATTTTGTCATTAGGACAGCTATATAGTCTTAAAATGTCTGAAAGGCATTCAGTAAATGCTATTTTTTTTTAAATGTCAGAATTCACTTAATGGTTTAAAGAACTTACTGCTTAAGCTGATTTGTTCTTTGTTCTTAGATGGCACTAATAAAAATAGTGTCCAGAATATGTACTATAGCAGTTTTGTTCCATTTTAGGTTATGCAGCTGTGTTTAAGACAATTTTAGAGATGATCATCAAGAAGTGTATTAAGAAATGAAGGCAGCCAGGCAGGATGAATAGGAAGGTGTGGGTGATGGAACCTGGAACACAGTAGATGAAGGTGTTAAGCCAGGAGAAGAGTCTATGTTACAGCCACCTCCTAGTTCTTAAAAGGGAACTATTCACTAACTTAATTTTTACTCTTTGTTATAACATTCAGTGGATTTAGGTCAAATGAGAGATGCATGGAAAAACTTTGTATTGGAACTTTCTGAACACAAATAGTTGATGTTTTGTGCCATCACATTTTTCTGTGTTAAGACAGAGTGCACACCATCTATCAAAATATCAGAGTGTAGGCTTAATACTATGGTTATATCCTCTCTGTAATCCTTTCCTACTCTTGGGCTTTGGGGGTTTTGTTTCTCATCATTCTTTTCTTATGTCTCCATTGAGAATTTTGGTGATTTTCCTCAGTTGTAAAAGTTTATCCTTGAATGAATGAACCTAATAACCAATGACAGTAAGCAAATCAAAGAGTAGATGAGAGATGCAGAAAACTTAATTTTGATTTATAGTCCAGAAATTATATGAACTGTTTTTTAAAAAGCATATTGTTTTAGTAAAATTAATTCTTTTTTTTTTTTAAAGAGAGAGTGATAGAGGAGGAGAGGGAGAGAGAGAGAATTTTTTTTAATATTTATTTTTTAGTTATTGCCGGACACAACATCGTTGTTTGTATGTGGTCCTGAGGATCGAACCCCGGCAGCACACATGCCAGATGAGCGCGCTACTGCTTGAGCCACATCCCCAGCCCTAAAATTAATTCTTATAAACAATTTTATAGAGCACTGAGAAGAAAGTAAAAGGTCTGACATGTAAAAAGAACCTCTGTTATCATTTTGTTGACATCCTAGCCCTTTTCTTTGCTTACCTAATGGAGATTGATTGATTGATTGATTTTTATCAGGGATTGAACCCAGGGACATTTAATCACCAAGTTCATCCACAGCCTGTTTTGTTTTGTTTTTGAGACAGGACCTTATTGCTTAGGGCCTTGCTAAGTTGCTGAGGCTGGCTTTGAACTTGCAATTCTCCTGCTTCAGCCTCCCGAGCTGCTGGGATTACAGGCATACCCCACCACAGAGTTTTAAATGTAGTTTTATATTTCTTGTTGGAAGAAACTGGTACCATATAAAACATTTAGAAAACTTAAGTTCTTCTATATTGAGATATTTTGCATTTGATGCTCCTGTCCCTCCAAAATTGAATAGTTGGCTTGGTTTTAATAAGGAGACAGGAAATAATAGGAATCAAATGTGTATGTAATAATAGGAATAAAATGTGTATTAAGAAGTATTAAGAATTGGTAGCAAATTTAAATCTTTATTCCTTTATGATCATAAAGTGGGAGTGCATGGTGAGCTTCAGGTATATGAATAAAAATCAACTCAGCCAGGCATGGTGGTACATACCTGTAATTCCAGCCCTTGGGAGGATAGGCAGGAGTATCCCAAGTTTGATGCCAAGCTTTGCAACTTAGCGAGACCCTGTCTGAAAATAAGTAAAAAGGGCTGGGGATGTTGCTCAGAGGTAAGCACTCCTGGGTTCAACCCTGTACCACCACCACCACCCCCACACACACAAAAAAAAAAAAAAAAAAGAAAAGAAAACTCATTTTCAGATATCTGTGTCTGAGACAGGTATGAATTCCATGTATGTAATACATGATCCAGAATGCTAGGATTTACTATCTAACAGCAGCCTAGCAGTTTACTTTTGTGTTGTGATATTGTGGAAAAAGTTTTAAAAATTTTAAATGAATATGTACACTTGCATAATACATACTGTGCGTAATGTGTCATTGCCTACCCAAGAAGTGTCCATAGCAAATTTTTTAAAACTTATTTATTCTAATTTATCACACACAATGGCAGAATGCAATTTATTTCATTTTACACATAGAGCACAATTTCTCAAGTCACTGATTATACACAAATAACTACATTACATGTACTTAGGGTAATGATGTGTAACTCAAAATTCACCATCATTCCTACTCCCTTGTTCCCTCCCTTCCCCTCCCTACCCTTTGCCCTATTCTGAGTTCCTCCATTCTTCCCATGCTCCCCCCCCCCCATTGCTATTATGAGTCAGCATCCTCATATCAAAGAAATCATTCTGCCTTTGGTTTTGGGGTATTGGCTTACTTCACTTTGCATTATATTCTCTAGTTCCATCCATTTACCTGCAAATGCCATGTTTTATTCTCTCTTAATGCTGAGTAATGTTCCATTGTGTATATATTTTAAAGTTTCCCTCTTCCTTCATCTACTGAAGGGCATCTGGGTTGGTTCCACAATTTAGCTATTATGAATTGTGCTGCTGTATAAACATTGATATGACTGTGTCCCTGTAGTATGCTGTTTTAAGTCCTTTGGGTATAAACTGAGGAGTGGGATAGCTGGGTCAAGTTTTCCAAAGAATCCCCATACTAGACCATAGCAAATTTTAAAGACTGTTTACTTCATGGTGTCACATTTGTATACCCATAATTTCATAAAAACAGCCATTTACATATCTCTATGGAACCTGTTATTTATATCTATAAATACATGTATTTTTCACATAGGTTTTAGAATCATTTTATGTTTCTGATTATAGTCATGGTGAAGATTTGATGAAAGCAAGATGTACTACCAGTCTCTAATTTGATACCCTAATGTCTATTTATACCCATTTTATATAAAGTTGAATTTGTGTTAATGCTTACAAAGTTCAGGTAATAGGAATTAGTCAACACTAAAATGTTTTAACTTTTCATGTGGTTTTAGAAGTTGATTTAATAGTTTTTACTTCCATTAGATTTTGCATTTTCATGTTTGACAGTCAACATTTTGCTATGGCAGAAGCATGAATAGTTATTTAATTATTTAAGGTTTCTTGTTATGTAAACGGGATATAATAATTAGTATTCCTGTGATGATAGAGCACAGGGATGCTTACTTGTCTGCTCTTTAGATATAAAATCAGTGGTTGGGGAAGGAAAGAGTTAGGTTGCTGATTTCTGTAATATAGGATCAAGACAAAAGAAAATCTCCAGTGACATCTCAAAGGAAGAAAAGGGTAAGTGGTAGGAAGAAAGGCATTATCTTTTTCTTATCAACCTAAAATTCTTTTTTTTTTTTTTTTTTTTTTTTTGGTGCTACTGGGGATTTAACCCGGAACCTTGCATATTCTAAGCTGGAGCTTTACCATAGAACTGTAGTAGCCCTTGAAATTCTCCTTTTAGTTTCCTTCAGGGGCAGAGAAAAGATAATAGGTTCAATGTTCCTAAATGAAACGTTTTTATATATGTGGGAAGTTTTTTGGTTTTTTTTTTTTTTTTTTTGGTCATTGAAAGTATTCTCTCTTATATTTTGAGAAAAAGTAGGATCGAGATATTAATACTGAGAGGCAACCATAATAATCAGAACCTTTTTTGTTTGTTTGTTTTTTAAAGATTCCTCCCCAGCATTAAGGCATATCTGGTCTCTTCCTCTTTCTTAACCTTCTCTGTTCTTCCTTCTGATTTGCACTCCTGGTGGTGGAGTGGGTAGGCTTGTGTATGAAAACACTTTTGATTATTTTCTCTTCTCTTATTTATTACCAAGTTTTTCATTTATTCCTCTAGATTCTTTTATAATATCATTCATATCCTGTTTGTGGCTGTAGATCTTCAGGTTCTGTTGGAGACTAAGGAACTTCTTGATTCTTTCCTAAGGCAGATTATCTTTGGAATGTCTTCCCTCTAACTCTAGAAAATGTGTTTTGAAGTACCAGGCTTATGTTTTCATGTCAAGCATATTATATTCCATATGCCCCTTGAATCGATCAATTTATAATCTAAAGTTTCTGAACTACGACTTTTGTTTGTTGATTTTTCTGAGAATAATGTAGTTGCCAACACAACTATATATATGTACTCTCAAAATGACTTTGTTTTCCACATTTTCAGTTTTTGTTTTCAACGAGTAATATGGAATAACAGCTAGACAAGGTCCTTATGGTTTAACACAAACCAGTCTTAGAAGGACTCTAAGTAGATTCTGATTATTTAAGTGGTTAAACTATTTCCTAACATGATTTATTTACCAGAGTATGAAAAATATCATGCAAATAGGTGGTTCTCATTACCAGCACTTAATAATCTGAATGATAACAGAAAATATTTTAATCTAGAGAATGGACATCTACAGGTCCCAAGTTTTTATCCCTGCCAGCTTTGTCACCATGGTCCTACTTTTAGTTTCTAAGAAGATTGTGCTTTATTCATCTTTATTAATGGTTTCTTTCAGCCTCACTCATGAAGTTAACCAGCAATGCTTTGGAATGCTCACCTTAAATATTTTGCACCGTTCTTGTATCTCATTATTTGTTGGCGAGATGGCCAACAGGGTCAGTAATGTTGCTTAGCTTCTCATAAACATTCAAAATGTTTTTCTTAGGCAGTTCTAGTTGTTTACCCTGGGTTAAGAGAAAGAGAAAATGCAGGTTAAATAGAAAAGTACAGTCATCTTTCTTCAAGTCTGAACTTTTTCAAAAATATGTTTAATTTTTAATTATATTGTTTCTTGAAATTACAAAGCTTTAATTATATAGTGTATATTTATAATACTAAGTTATAAAATATTTTTATGTGTTTTAGTTGTATTTTTAGTAGCATGAACAGCTACTTTAAAAGTCAAAAATTCTTATAGAAAAATAGGTAACATCATGATAGTCGGCTTTTTTATTTCTGAATATTGTATCCTATATCCTGAATACTGCTCCTCTTATCCTGACTGCTATCTGGTTGATCGGCTTTGCTCGGAGCATTCCCAGATAATATTTGAATAAATTAATACAAGTTAGAATTGAAGAAATTCTGGTTGGGCTACTGTGGGTTGCTTTGCTCATAAAAGTGTCCTGATTAAAGTCAAATCTTATGAGTTCTCTGTTTTATTTTTAAATTTTTTAGAGATAAATTACTAATAGCCACATGCATGTTACATTTACATTAATAAAAGCATATGTCAAACACATTTCTTTTTGTGGAATGAAAGTGTTATATATCTTACCCCAGCAGTGCATCATGTTTTTAATGCCAGCTTGCTCTTACATCATAGCTGCTGTTAAGAGCCAGGATACATTCATTCTAAAATGAAGACTGTTATGAAAGAGGAGAGTAAGAGTGTGGAGTACTGTGTAGTGAGTAGTAGCCATATAATTGTGCTAAGACTTAGTGAACGTACATCTGAGAATGCCCAGTGGTTCAGCTCTTCTCTCCTGTGAACTAACAGCCAGATTGTTTGTAATTTCCCATGCTATTTAAAACAGGGTTCTCATGTATCAGCCATCTTCTGTAAGGGTGCCCAGTGTGACTTCGGTTGATCCTGCTGCTATTCCGCCTTCATTAACAGACTACTCAGTACCATTCCACCACACGCCAATATCAAGCATGTCATCAGACTTGCCAGGTATGTGGAGAGTTTTTGTTGTTTTTCTTTTTTTTTTTTTTTAATCAAATTTTATCATTTTTTAAAAAATCTTAATCAGTGGAGCAAATAAATTTTAAAATTTTAAATAAAAGTGGTAAAGAAATTTGAAGTCCTCATGTAAAAGTAATATCTATTTTGCATCATATTCAGTTGTTGTCATTGTAACTACTAAGAAATCTATAGATTTCTGATGATAGGGAATATAGGATAATAGAAGGAAAATTTTATAGACTGTATCTCCCTTATAGAGAATTTGTGCTTAGACTTCTTGGTTTATTTATCATAGAAGCTTCACAGTTTAGGGAGAGTATTTTCTCATATTCTTCTTGGTAGTCTGTTCTTTCTCAGTAGCCTATCAGAACTCTCCAATATACTGATGTGTTGGGGGGCCAGTTTTGCCTGCTAGCTGTACCCAGTGGATTTCCTCCCAAAAGGATAGGATCTATCATGTGTTTCTCTAGATCTTAATATTTGGAGATTATACCATAGTATTAGAATATGCAATCAAGGGCATATTATAAAATTTAAAGGCTTCTCCCTTTACTCTTCTTCCTTCTCTTTATAGCCATTGTTTTTGCTTAAATTTTTGTCACTTAAAAGCAAGATAGAATCAGTGCCTCTTCTATTCATGGCTTCACTTTTCTCTGAAGGCCCTATATACTTCCTTCTTCTGTTATCAATTTTCTTTTATGGAATTGTAAAATTGATTTTGATGTGGTTTATTTTTCTTTTTGCCCTTTGTTTTAGACACAATGCTTATTTTGTTGGTCAAAATTTGTGCTATTGAAACAGTTGATAGCTGTGTTATCTAGCCCAATATAATCTTGCCACTTGAAATTAGATTATTTGAATAAAATTTAGTGGTAAAGAATAAATTAAAATAGTACCCATCAAAAGGAGCTTTAAAGAAAAAAACTACTTTTTGCTTCTAAAATATGTTTACCGGATATTTAATTTGTAGCAGGTATATATTTGTACCAGGTAAAAAGTATTTGTTGTATATAAAGGCTGATGCTGAGATATGGTGAGGGTTTATGGACCATGACAAAGATGGAAATGCAAATATTTCTAATTCCTAATGGTCTATGTTGCTTTACCTTGGCGGTGTTGAAGAGTCTTCCATGTATTGTCTTAGTAGATGTTATAAATAATCATCCCTGAAGAATTTGTTTCTTTAAGATCTTGAATTAAAAACTAATCCTGAAAAGATAGTGAACTTTTCAGTTTATTGAAGTGGCTCAGGTTATTTAGCAATAGCATAGACACAATTTACAAATAAATCACTTGCCCTGGTCATTTTCAAATGATGTGGGTCTGGATGAATTTTTTAAAGTTGGGAGAATTTACATTATTTCAGAATGTGATCTTATAAAGTGATATTTTACATCTTTAAAAAAATGTGTGGTTTTGAGAAAAATGTAGTGTAAAATTAGTCTAATCTGTGTATTTGGGAAAATGCATTCCAAGCTGGTATTGAGGATACAACACTAATATATGGGACTGATGTTTAACCAATAAAAACCAATATCTGGTTGCTAAAAGGTTGAGAAACTTTCTTAGCAGTTGATAAACTAAATAGAATAGTTTCAATTATCCTTTAGAAGAATGACTAGTTTATTGTCGAGTGTGAGTTATGAAGTAGTTATTATGTCCAAATAGTTTAAATTTTGTTTTTATGTTAACTTGCTCTTTATAACTAGTAGTCACTTTTGTTTTATTCTTATGTATGATTTTTATGTCATTAGTCATAATGTAGAATTTGGGTATTGATAAATTTAATAATTTTATAATAAAATATTAAATAGAACACCAAGAATGAAAGGATAAGAAAGTTTTAATACATTTCTTAACATTCTTTTTAAACATCATAAATATGAATCTTCTGAATCTGCAGGAATACAAAGAAGAAATGATATTAATAATGAACTGCAGCTTGGAACATCTTCTGATACTGTGCAACAGTGAATACAAAATTAAACATAATTTGTATTTATGGAATGGAAAACAGCTTGATTATTACAAGAAAAAAATAATGACTGCCTTATTATTGCTAGTGCCATATTGTCAGGTGCGAATGGTGCTCAACAGTTGTATCATTAAAATTTGAAAGTGCTAAACCTTTACATTTTTAATCTTGTAGCAATCATGTTTTGTGAAAGTTTATGGCGCAAGTTAAGGAAAAGTGTGTTGTCATCAATGAGGGTAAAAAAACTAATGAGTCAGTTTCACTTAGTGAAGCATTTAAAGTTCAAAAATGAGAATTTTATCAGTGTTAATAAAGCAGAAACATTTAGAATGTATCAGAATTTTTCATAATACTTTTTAATTAAAATAATAGATCATTTTCAACCATGAAATACTTAGAAGGGCAAAAAATATATCAGTATCATATGTTACAATTGACATGATGAAATAAGGAATAACATTTTGCTAAATTTATAGAACAAGGTAGTAAAATTTTCATCACTGTTGATAAAACTATTAGTTCATGAGTTTTACTCTACTTAAAATGTAAAAATACAAGACTCTTGGTATGTGGTGGATTGAACCCAGGGCTTTATGCATGCTAGGCGTGTGCTAAGTGCTCTACCTCAGACCTACATTCCCCAGTCTTTTTTCTTTTTCTTTTTGGAGATTATGTCTTTGTGTTGCCCAAGCTTCCCTCGAACTTGGGAGCTTTCTGCCTCAACCTCCTAAGTTGCTGGGATTACAGGTGTGTGCAGCTATACCTGGAAAAAATGCAAGATTTTGATGGATGTTTAACTTCTTATTAGAAGGAGTAACATAAAACATCACATTTTATCCATTTCACTGTTAAGTGCTTAAGACAGTTTCATTAAGAAATATTTACTTTAAAACCCTATTGTATTTTGTATTAACAGCACCTATGTAATGCTTAGAAGACAATCTAGGGTTTCACCCCAATTTTTTTTTTAAAAAAGTCTAGATATTTTAATATGGCATTGTATGTCACCATTTTTCAGTTATGTTTGGATGGAGTATCAAAAGATACAGATCAAGTAAATCTTTTTAACTATTTTCTAATTGACTTGATATTTATTGGCACACAAAAAATCCCCGAAGAGATAAGCTGGATATTGAAATAATGAAAATAGGTAGAATCTTTGGATCTCTGCATCCTTTAGTGGCAACAGAGCTGCAAAAGCGGAATATTATATCAAGACTGTGAATTTATGTAAGTTGAAATTATGAAATGGAAGAAGATGAACATTTAGAAAATGAACATTTCTGAGTGATTTGGTTTCAGTACACAGTATTCCATCAGAGATGTCAATACTTTCTTTAGCTTTATTTTTAAAAAAGTTAAAATGGATTGAGTAATAAACATTAAGTGATAGAACATGTAAACTAAAAAACTATTAAAACGTAGAAACTTTAAAAAAATTTGAAAAATGTTATACCATTTGAAGCAAAACAAAAATTTAATAAAATGAGGCCAATTATATTCCAATAAACTTTTTGTGACAGCAGTAGAAATTTTACTATATAAAGCTCTGAGAAGGTATGTAACTTTAGGCTAAATTTGAATTACTGTACAGAAGCAGAATTTACTGAACAATATCATTAATGTGAAAAGAAACTCTCTGCTTAGAAATATGATTTCAGTTTAATGGAGGAAGTCATTGGAAAGATTCATTGTAATTTCCTTTGTCCATCATAGTCTCAAACTGCTGTATTATATAGCTGGTAACCAGTGTATGAAATGAAAAACTATAGCAACATTTTAAAAATGCTTTAGGAATTGTTTCATTTTAGATAACTGGTGCTATAGTTTATATCACTTGATATGCTTACAACAGATTATGAGATTATAAGGGAGTAAATACACTTTAAAATTTTTGAGTCAAAATTATTCATAGGGGATATTAAATATTTTAAAAACAATCCTCACTGATAGTCTCTGTTTCGAGTAATAGTGTATATAACATCATACTTTGGTGACTCTGTAGTTGCATTTGGGGTGACATTGAATGCCTGCATATAAAAAGCCATGTTATTGATAGACTCTGACCTGTCTTAATGGCTAGGCCTACTATGATTCCTTTTTTATTTTGAAATAATTGAAAAGAATTCAGTTACCCAAGGAGGTCTAGGGGAACTGACTTCGAAGTTCATTGCTTGGTTTTTCAGATCTGAAGTTTTATTATTCTGTTACTTTAACCCTCTTAAATGATATTCCTGGGCAACCTTTTCTACATTCCTATTTCTAAAACGTAAGTGGAGAATCCCAGGTCATTGGTTTAGAGCTTAGTAAACTTGTATTAACTTTTGCTTGTTAGTGAGCAATAGTTACCAACTGCTTGCTTTGTGCGGAGTGTGGGACTGTGTACTACTCTTCATTGGCAGCAAGGGCCAGAGAGGTATCAATGAAAGAGACATCTGTTTAAGAAGTAATATTTTAGATGAACCTCAATGTGTATTTCTGAAAAATAAATGTGAATTATCTTTAAGAACCTAAGTATGTTTTTCTTTTTAATCTGAAGATCATTATCTCATCGTTTTGATTGCCTCTCATTCTGTTAAATGACAAAGGAAAAATGTATGATTAGTCCTACTTCTCTGAAAATTTTTGGACTACTTCCTTTGAGACGCTGGGAGGTGGTTTTTCCAGTTACTTTGTCAGGTTTTTATATGCATCAAATATCACTGATGTGTCACTGATAAGTGATATGGTACAGAACTTCCTATGGCAAAGTGGTAAGCATTTAACCCAGTAGTTTTGTGATTTATGATAAATACAAAATCATTTTGGAAAATAATTCTAGTCTCCAAAATGTGAGTCAACTATTAACAAAGCATTTTTGTTTTAGGTTTGGATTTTCTTTCCCTTATTCCAGTTGATCCCCAGGTATGTATCCTGAATTTAAGCAACTAATTTGTATTTGATTGTTATGCCATACTAACTAAAAATGACCAGTTGCATAAAATCAGGACAGTCAACTATCAGTTATTTACATTGAAGGGAAGAAAGTACTGTATAAATATTTCACAGTTTTATTTGGAGAAATAAAGTTACAATTTTTCAATTTATAATTTTTTGTCTTTAATACCTAAGCTTTTAATCATACTTTATTGAGATTAATCAGTATTTGATTAGATTGAGTGGAAGCAGTGCCAGGTGGCTGGGGATTAAGGTTTTAAAGGTAAAATTTTATCAATAAAAACTTAATCTTGGTGCGGTGGCACACACCTGTAATCCCAGCGGCTTGGGAGGCTGAGGCAGGAGGATCACAAGTTCAAAGTCTGCCTCAGCAACTTAGACCCTGAACTTAAATAAGAAAATAGGCTAGGATGTGGCTAAATGGTAAAAGTGCCCCAGGGTTCAGTCTCCAGTTCCCCAAAACAGAAACTTACTATATACATAAATAATAGCTAAAGCTCGCTAAATAGACTTGACTTGCCAACTTAATTCTCCATTGTTTGAAGGAAAACCATCAGACATTAGGAATACCTCAGTGAAAAGGTGTGATGTGCCTATTTTCTCTTAAAGATAAGCATTTCTGTTAGCTCCGAGTTCCAGCCCTTCAGACTTTGCAGTGAGCATGGACTCCATTCACATGCTTAGCGCTCTAGCAGAGGAAAAATAGGGAAAGAAAACAGCCAGAAAGAGACTTTGAGAGCAGGTATAATGAGTAGTGGGGCAAAGGATGAACCATAGACCCCTACTTCATGGATTGCTCAGCATCAACTAACTGCAGGTCTGTTACGAGCCTCCTGTCATTTATTAATCTGAACACAAACAGCACTGGGAACTTGGACCTCAAATAATGAACAGACTGAGGAATTTCTTGTCATCTTTAGTTGATTTAGTAGATTCTATAGCAAGGATATCTATTTTTCTAGGATATGGATTTTTCAGACTTAAAGGTTACCAATTTTTGTGAAGTCCTTTAGAAAAAATTATATTAGAGCCTGAGATTATTATTTCATAGTTCTGTTTGCCTCGGTGAGTGTCAGGCTAATTACATAAGTTGGTAGATGAATGAGATTGTGCCTTCCATTTACTATAGAATCCTTAGGTTTTCCTGCTTTAGTTCCATATTGCCCCTTAATATCTATTGTCTTTATGTAGATATATAGATAAGGGTTAGAAGTAAAATGGTTACAACTGGAATATAACAATTCAAGGCGAGGGAGTACATGGAGGATGGGACTATAGCATCCACTCATTGTATAAATGAAGAGGGGTGTATTTTTATTGTCAGGTAGTAAAAACCAACCTGAAAAGTAGTAAGAATAAAATCATAAGTTTCTGGAATTTTCCCCCAGATTTTTCCCTGACTTTTTAGTAACAACTTTTTAGAGAAGTTAGAAATTGATTTGATTTTAGAGAAGAATTTGTAGTATCCAATGATTCAACTATCTTCAGAGCTACTTAGAAGCTTTTAAAAATTACTTTCTCCCCCTTATAACATCCCTTGAATCTCTTTGTGTGTGGCATTCACTTTATATCAAGAATTTTCCATCCAAAACATTAAATAACTTTCTCTGTTGAAAGACAGCCTAAACTTGGTGCTGTTATTCCCATTTTATTTATGGGCTTTGAAGATCATGGAGTCTAAACAATTTCAGTTTTAAATGACCATTTCATAAGTTAGTGGTTCTAAGAATGAATTGAATGATATATAGATTATATAATACCAATCAGATATCCTTACTAACTTTTCAGTCTGTATCCAGACCCACTTAGGACAGTGAGTTGCTAATTATTTTGTTAAAGTCAGTATGGTTGTTTCTCTTATAACATATTCTACTATGATCATTTAAATATTTATCCCTTGTTTCTCTCCATTCCTCTTGGTCAGTATTATAGACTTTCACACTTTAGATTTGTCTTTGGGGGTAATTAGCAGCCTGTATGGTAAGGTGACTTGAAATATGAACACTGGTGAGGAATGTCAAGCAAGCATTTTAAGATTAGATTAGATCTTCATTAAGATGCATTCCAAAGTTTTGTGATTATATGATTTCCTGCATGAGCATTCCTTGAAGTCTCCATTTTAGAATGAATGTTGGCATTTTTATTACACAAGTAGTGTTCTATGTGTATGTACAGAGGAGTCTAGCCCCATCATTCTGCTGCTCACTCTTAATATTCACTCTTACTCATAAAAGGTCTGTTTGATACTGAATTTTGGAAAATGGTTAAGCTTTTCATTAGCATTTTTGCTTGAAGAATAAGTGCTTATCAGCCTTTTATATTGTGGTTTAAACCTTGTCTAAATATACTTAGTGACCAATTAAGAATGAATCATAATTGTGGGGCCAATATTTAATACTAAGTGATTTCAGTTATTATTGACATTACTTGTTCTTTTACCTCTGTATTCGGTCAACAAACAAGTTTCACATGTTCTTGATTTGAGAGAATCAAGAATATGATGCATTCACTGAAGAATGTAAACTAGCTAAATTCAGGCCATCTTCCACCCAAAGATGTGAAGTTTAAAGGTATCTTTAAATTCAAGGGCAATTTAAATATGTGATTATCACTTGTGCATATCTAACAGTTTCTAGTCTCTTTATTTAAAACCAATGTAGCCTCTTCCTCATCGACATCATTGTTTGTTTCAAGCAGTACTGTCCTCCTATGTTTTTGGATAGTCTCACCTCACCCTTAACAGCAAGCAGTACGTCCGTCACCACCACCAGCCCCCATGAAAGCAGTACTCATGTTAGTTCATCCAGCAGCAGAAGTGAGACAGGGGTCATAACCAGCAGTGGAAGTAACATTCCTGACATCATCTCATTGGACTAAAGGCGGACTCATTTGATTCTGGGAATCATTCATCAAAACTGCTCTTTCTTGGATCTCTGGTCCATGGATGCTATTTTTTTGGCAATTTGATATTTATTGAAACGTCAAATGGATTCTTTTGCTTTCTGAGAGATGAACCCAGATGACTGAAGCAAGAACCAAATGACACACAAGGACTTTTCGTATTCATGTTGAGCATCAGATACATTTCAGCCATAACAGTGTCTTCTTGAGCAGTGGATTTCAATTTCATACATTACTGGATGGATTCTACAAGGCAATTTAAAGGTGTTTTTTTTGGGGGGGGGTATAATAAACAGCAATAAAATTCTGTAAATATTTAAACCTTTCTAATTAAAAAAGATGTAATCACTGATTCTAAAATGACAGCAACTTCTGTTTAATCCAATGTGAAAGAAAAAATATATGGAAAGAAGTCATGTTTGCTAAAAGTCTTTTCCATGGAGATTTATTTTTTTGTTGCAGTAATGAAATTTTGATAAGTGGCCAAAGTTGAGTTTCACTATTCTTTCACTCTTCATGATTCCATCAAAGAAAAATGGCCTTTGTGGTGTTCTTTTTTCCCTAGTTGTCATTTACATTTTGATACTGTTTGCTCATGAATGCAGAGGAAGTTCTAGGATTTGGCTGCTCTTTATTAGTGATTATATCTAAGAACACTATGCAGATTCTGCCCTGACATGATGTGTTATTTTTGGTAACTGTACATTCTCATTCTAGAGTTTTCTATAAATTTAAGGCTTGCCTTCTTAAAAAATTCTATGCAGCCTTTGAATGAAATATTTTTGAGGTAAGGTGTGGCTAGAATGTTTGTTCGAATTTTCTTTTCAATGTCTAGAAATGTTGATAGGAGTGGAAGGACAGATTTAGGGAAGGTGGAACGAACAAAATTTAGTCTCTCCCTAAGAATTTAATTTGCTCATTGATTTTATAGAAAAATACACAAATCACTGTTGAAACTGTTCACATTTTAGGGGCAGTGACATAGAAGTTGTTTTAGGTCTTCGGTCATATTTTTTGCCAGTGTAATTTCTATCTCATAGAATGATTTTCAAAAGGAAAAGACAATAGCAAGGAAAGGGGACATTATTAATTTCTTTTTCCTTTTTTTCAGTCTTTCTTTAAACCACAAAAGATGAAACAAAATGAGAAATGTTTAAACTGAACAGTGAGGAAGGGTTTGGGAGAGGGACATGAAGCCCACTTCATGTCTCACTCCATGGTACCCAGAAACACTCCACCCCTCTAGCTTTACTGGGTCCACTTTGCAAACCACTCCCCTATCGTTTGTTTAATTTTAAACCACTCATAAACTAGGTTTTCCTTGTAGAGAAACATTTTTATCCAAGTTTTATACTTTATTTCATTTGGCTTCTTAAATTATCCAGAAGCTAGCATTTTCTTATGTTGAGCTTTCTCTCCTAGGCTGTGTTCACTTTTCATAGCTAGTCTGACGAGTCTCCTTCTCAAGCAGAGGTGCCCAGAGGTGGGCTGTCCACTTGCAGTTTAACGAGGACACCTTGCTTCAGAATTGGTTTAACTCCAGGGAGCTCCCTGCTTGGGTTTTGATGCTCTCTCAAGTTTTCATGGCATTTGTTGCCCCTTTTCGTGTTCTGTAGTGTGTGATTTTCCACATTATACCTTCTTTGGCTCTATCATCCACTTATTTAATGTAGTATCCCTTTGTGTGGGCTACATGTTAAAGACATGGAAAAGCAAAGTCAGCCCTGACTCTTAGCACTAGTTGCACCATAGTTGCCAGTTTCATCTTTTAACTGTTAGATTTCAGTCCAGACTACAGTCTTATTTGTGGTCCAGATACAGAGAACTACTTCTTGGTAGGATTTCGTGTTGCTGCTGTGTAAGTACAGATGCAATTTCTGTTAACTCTGTAATCAGAAAAAGTAACTTTGATTTGTGTGGTATAATTTGTTAACAAAGAAATAATGGATATTTGTTATCATTTTGTGACCCTTTAGATTCTCGGAGACTCCTTTTCTCCCATTTGAATCAGCAAAGTTTTATAAAGTAATGAAAATATTAATAGAAATTAGTTACTTTACTTGGTTCTTGTAACTGATAACCTCTCCTTTTGTAGTTGTGATGTTTCCTTGTTACTGTTTTATGTGAACAGTTTTAGTGTTCATTTTTGGTGCTTTACACTGAACTTATGTATAAATTTTTATTTTACCTCAGGCAACTAACACTTTTAAAAATATACTTTTTAAGTTTTTAATGTTGGGCTTACCTTTTGTAGATGTCTTTGAAGATACTTTTCGGTGTGCTTTTGGCACTATGACAACAACATGGTTTCTAAGCTATTACCCTTGATTTAATATGGTCACTTTAATTATTTTTACAAAGATCCTGATAGCAGTGTATTTTGCTAACCCAGATTCTGCTTTAACAAAGTATAATGGAATGAAAAGCTGTTACTTAGAATGTCAGCCAGTCAGTCATTATTTGGAGTATCTTGTTTAAGGAAAGGAGTTGTAGTTACTACTTTTATAGTCTTTTAACCAACTTGTATTTTTACCTTTCTTCACTTAGAAATAGGAAAGGCTTCTCTTGCTTTGGTACGTCCTGCAGAATATCTGGTGCTGACTGTAGCTGCTCGCCTAGAGCCACTTACACTCACCCACTTTCTCACCCCTAGGGGATCCATTTTAGGATCTTATTCCATTTCTGCCCTGAAGTTATAAATACTTGGCGTCTGTTCTACAATAAATGTAAAGGCCAAATAAAACAGTTGTGATGAATTCAGGTTATGTGGCATCTATCTGATAACATGTTCCAGGATAAAAATACAATATGTAGGTAAGAGATAGCAGATAGCAAGTGTAATTCAGTTGATCCATAACTCTTGGTTTAAAACAAGATTCTTTAGGATAGTATTAAGAAATAAGAAAGGTAAGATTTTGAATTTTAAATAAAGTTGAACAGAAACTATTTTGACTTTGATATACCTTCAAACCAATCCTAGATACTCACCATCTAATAACCTCCTTTCTTCTTTTGCCAGAAAAGTTACATTTGTGCTTTTAACTATTAAGGTTTTTACAGAGCATTGGTTTAGTTGTCAGGTATTCTTTTCTCCCCAGCCTTCATTGGGTAAAAAGTAATTGTTTCCAATTATTTCTAGTTCTTTGGAATATAATAATGAATTTTTTTCCTAGTTGTTTTCACCTTAGAAAATGTAAAGTAGTACCCCATTATAACTTAAGGGTGACATTGGACTTAGTGGCACTGGGTTCATGTGATGTGAGAGCTTGGTAGTGTCATTTTGATGGGTGATTGATGGTTCCACCTAATTCCCATCTGTTCTGCTACAGTTCTAAATGGGTACAATGAAACTTATAGAAAAGAATTTAAGAATTCTGCTTTTTAAGAGTCTCATGCCTCCTATCAAATAAATGACTGGTTTGTATGACTCCCACTCCCCCCCCTTTTTTTTTGGTTAGGAACCACACTGCAATTTCTAGAAAAAACAAATAAAGTTTTATTAAAATATTTGCCCATTCTTCTTCAATGATTGTCTGGTTTACTGATTTTTTATTCTTGTTTATGTCAGTGGTATATGTTCAGTGTAGAAATGTAGACAGTACAGAAAAGAACAACAAAAATTGCCCCTAAGTCCATCACCAGAGAGAAGAGATTCACATTAAATATTTTTGCATATTTCTTGCCAGACTCTTTGCTGCTTCTGCATTTTTATATAAAATTTGTACCTTGTTTTTTCCCTCAATCTATAGGCATTCTTCCTTGTCATTAAAAACTCTGTCAACCATTATTAAGTCCATGATATTCCATTGTGTGGCTCTTTCCCCATGGGACATTTTAGATTTGTGCATAAATTATTTCTTAGGATAAATTCCTAGAGGTGTGATTTCTGGGTCAAGGATATGAACATTTTTGTGGTTCTTGATTCATGCCACCTTTCCCGACAGTTGTCATTTATATTCCACTAGGAGGTGTGAGAAGGGCTGCATAGTGTATTTTCCAAGAACACATTTATCTTTATGCAGCCATCTGCACTCAGATCCTCAGCTCTTCTGAGCCTGGTGAACTGGGCTAAGGATAATTGGAAGATACTTTCACAGGATTTCTCAGTTTTAAATATACAGTTGTCCCAATTATCTGGGAAGACTGCTTCCAGAGCTGCCCCACCCAGTACTAACAAGCACAGATGTTACCTCTTATATAAGAGGACATTGTACTAATATAATCTGTGTACATCCACCCATACACTTTAAATCATCTCTAGATTATTTATAATATCTAATGTAATATAAAAGCTGTATAAATAGCTATGCTTTCTTTTTAAATAATAATAAGAAAAAGCCTGTATGTGCTCAGTACAGATGCAGTCCTGCTTCCCCCAAATGTGTAGTTGAATCCACTGATGCAGGTCCTATGGGTATGGAAGGTTAACTGAATTTATCTGACATGTTCTAGAAACATCTCCATATGTATATCCAACTGATTTTTCACATAGTTTTTCTTGCACTGTGCAGTAGCAAAAATATTGGTTAGACTACACTTTGTTTTTTTAAACATTTTATGCCTAGGGCCAGCCCTTAGTAGCAGCTTTCTTTTTCCTCTTGTAGGCTCCATTGTGGCCTTTCTGATCTCCCTAAAGCCAGTAGGATCTGCTGAGACAAAGGCAGTCCAACCCAAACTGGAAAAGTGGTAAGGCTAAAACTAAACAGGGCCAAGCTCTGCCCGTTTCACTTTGCATTCTTTTATGTTGCCAATCAGATCTTATTCTTGGTGTTCAAGGGTGGCTATGGAGAAAGAAAATAGATTGCTATGTTCATGTTAGAGGTGTAAGTAGCATTTTCTCAACTGGCATAGTACATTCATTATTTCCCAAACTGCTTTTCATTTCTGAATGATTTATAAAGCTTCCTTTATTCTGTATTCTAGAAGCTTAACTATCCTAAATTAAGGAGCATGGAATATGTTTCTTATTTTGGCCTTCATCAAACTATTCAACAGATGTTTAATGTTTTTCTTATGTCTGGGATAAAGTAATTATAAAAGATCTAATTGAAGCCTTCAAAGGGCTTATCTAGTTTTTAAAAAACAAGAATTCTTACCTAGTATTAGGTTTTGTGTGCTAACTTTACTACAGGGTGTCTCATTCCTTATAATAGCTTTTCACTTTACAAATGGACAAACAGATTTAGTAAGTTCACCAACATCATAGTGAGTGAGTAGTGGGCTTGGGATTCTGGCCCAAACCTACCTCAGAAGCCCTTTGACTAAGCTGAAGTGACATTAATTAGCTATGGTTTTTAGGAAACTCATGGAAATCTAGACGAAACTGGTTTTCAGATCCTGGCCAAAGTAGTTAGGAACAAGTGGACTCAAGTTACAGAATTTACTGAATACCTGCAGGAATAAGTGCTGAGTCCCTGGAGATAATGGGGCTGTTATGCTTTTATCCTGTTACAGGTTGAAGGATAATAGTGCTGTTTACCAGCTGGGAGGCAGTTGTGGTTAGTCCTTTAGAGGAGACAGTGATGAGTTTCTTAGATCACCTGTGGAGCTCATCCCTGGGTTTTGTACAGACTTTCCAGAAGTTCAGCCCTTCCTTGTCCTCCATCTCACCTTCGCTCTCCTCTGGGCTGTGCATGCTCTTGTCCCTTTCGGTTGCCTGTTGGCTCCTTCCTCCCTGCTTAGCTCTGTCTCAGCCTTTCCTTTCGTTCTCTTTACTGCCTTGCCATGACAGATTTGCTCTCATTTCCCTGTGGCTCTCACAGTGTGGGCTACATCTGCATTTAGTGTTTGCTGCCCTTTGTCCTTGTGGAAATGCCTTTGTCAGTAGTCTGCCTGTGAAGAATCTTGTGCAACAGAAGGCATTGGAATTTGCCTGACAGCTAACAGTAATGAGAATTTGTTGGAATTATTTCCAGTTTACAAATGTGGAAACAGATTCTAAGAGGGTAAAGGATTTGTCTAAGGCCAACTGCTAAGTGGGGAGTCAGGTTTCAGACCCAGTTTTAACCACCTTCCCAGGCCCTTCCTAATGATTTTATTTTTATTTTATTGTTGGTTGTTTTAGTGATGGGGATTGAACCTGGTGCATTGCACATGCTAAGCATGTAATCTACCACTGGGCCATACCCCCAGCTTTTAATTAATTTTAAAAGTAGGTGTTTCTTAGATATTTTCTATCATATCACCCTGTTTATATACTGTATGGGATTTATCACACCTGTGATTTTATGTATTGGTTCACCATGTATTGTCTCTATTAGATTGTAAGCTCCATGAGGGCAGAGGTGATATTTCATTGCACCCCAGATTCTAATGTGGTAAATAGTGCGTAGTAGAGGCTCAATAAATATTTGTGAATGAAGAAATGATGGATACCCATTTGCATTTGACTTATGCTCCCTGTGGAAATTTGATATCTGTTGAAAACAGAATACCCAAGCAGCAGATATTCACCAAGACAAGAAAGCTTGAGAGAAGGTGCATATTTGGGGTAGGTAGTAGAGGTGCTGAAGAGTCAAAGGAAGCAGCACCTTCACTTTTCTAGGCTGTTGCAGCTTACAGGGGCAAAGAACAGTTAGTAAGTGCAGGGTACACAGTGCAGTTCATGTACAAGTAGATGTTTTAGTAAACCTGAGAGTCTTAGGCGACCTCTTGTGGACCCAACCTACTATGTATATAAGGCTGGAAAAATTCTGCATGTAGTCTAGATTATGTATTGAGAACCACCTCATCTGCATCAGGTACACCATGCTCAGTTACAGAGTATAATTGTTGAAGCCAGAAGCAGAATGTGGTGGCACATGCTTATAATCCTAGTGACTCCAAAGGCTGAGGCAGGAGGATTGCAAATTGAAGACTTGTCTCAGCATCTTAGGAAGACCCTATCTTGAGTAAAAAAAGAAGTAGGGATGTCATTCAGTCGTCAAGCACCTCTGTTTAATCCCCAGTGCCTGCCTCCCCCCCCCCCGCCAAAAAAATTGTATTTATCTCAATCTCTTGATGCTAGTAACCTGACCCAAATATTGGATTTGATGCATTGTAACTGAAACAAGAATTGGTTAACCTGATGTCACTGGAATCCATTCCCACATGCTATTGTATGAACTACAAGCAAGTACTATAACGCCATAAAAAGAACCCCCCTCCCATTAGCAATCACTTCCCATTCCCCCATCTGCACCTCCCAGCTCTAGGTAACCATGATATACTTTACACTTGTGCCTTTCCGAGCATTTCATTACATTGAATCATGTCCTATATGATTTTTGTCACCATTTACTTTCATTTGACCTGGGGCTTCAAAGTTCATCCATGCTGAGCCTCCTTTATTCCTTTTTATGGCCAAATAATGATATGGTATGGATATGTCATTCTTTGTTCATCCATTCAGCAGTGCACAAATATTTGGGTGGTTCCCGTCTTTTGGTTGTTTTGAATGATGCTACTGTGGTCATTCATGTGCGTGTGTTTGTGTGGACATGATTTTTTGGTTTCTTTTAGGTATATACCTAGGATGGGAACTGCTGGGTCATATGCTAACTCCATATTTAACATTTTGAGGAACTTCCAGACTTTTCCAAGGTTGCTGTACCATCAATGTGTCAGGGTTCCAATTTCTTCAAATCCTCATCAATATTTGTTACTGTTATTTACTATAACCATTTTAATAGGTTGGAAATGTGAACTGATAAAGGTTTTGATTTGCATATCTGATGATTAATAGATCCTAACCATCTTTTTTATGTGCTTATTGGTTACTTGCATATTTTCTTTGAAGAAATAACAGTTATTTATATTCTTTCCTTATGTTTTAATTGAGGTTATTTGTCTTTTTATTATTGAGTTGTAAATATTTTTATATTTGAAGATACAAGTCCTTTTGAAGATATATGATTGGCAAATATTTTCTCTGGATTATCTTTTCACTTTCTTGATATGTCCCTTAAAGCACAAACATTTTAAATTTTGTTGCAGCCTCATTTCTTTCCTGTGTTGCTTATGATTTTGTTTTTACCTAAGAATCCATTGTCAAGTCTAAGATCATGAAGATTTACCCATATTTCTTCTTCCAATAATATTAATAGTTTTAGTTCATATTTAGGAGTTGGATCCAAATTTTTTAAATGGCATAATGATTCATTTTCAATCTTTTCTATGTGGCTATCCAGTTGTCTCAGTATTAATTGTTGAAAAGTCTGTTCTATCCCTATCAAATGGCCTTGGCTGTACCCCAGTTAAAAATCAGTTGTCTGTAAACACATAACTTTCCATTCTGTTCTATTGATTTGTGCATTTATCCTATGCCAGCACCACACTGCCTTGATTACCATTGCTTTGTAATATGTTTTGAAATTGGAAGGTGTAAATCAAGTTTATTCCTTTTCAAGATTGTTTTGGCCATTCAGAGATCCTGATAATTTCACATGAGTTTTAGAATCATAAATGTCTAGGAGGAAGCTGGTAGGTATTCTGATGAAGATTGCTTTGCATGTGTAGATCAGTTTGGGAACTACTTTCGCTTTGGCAATGTTGTTCTTCTTATGAACATAGGATGTTTTCCCAGTTATTTACATCTTTAATTTCTTTTAATGACATTTTGTAGTTTTTACCGTGTAAGTTTATGCTTCTTTTGTTGAAATATATTTATATTTTATTATTTTTGATGCTGTTGTAAATGGAATTGTATCTTTCATTTTGGATTTGTAAAAATACAATTGATTTTTTTAAAAAAAAAGAGTAGCAGACTTTATTTTTTTAGAGTACTTTTAAATTCATGGCAACATTAAACAGAACACAGAGAGTTTTCACATGTTCCCATTTAACCCTGCCATCCTCTCCCACCGACAGTATACTGTATCAATATAGCATATTTGTTATAATTGATGAGTCAACATTGACACATTATCTACTAAAGTCTGTAGTTTAACATTGGGGTTCACTCTTGTGGTGTACATTCTGTGGATTTCACAGACTTATATACCCATTACCGTATTACAACAAAGATGAGTCACTGCCCTAAGACTCCTGTGTTCTACTTTTTCATCCTTTCCCTTCCTGAACCCCTGGAAACCTCTGTTCTTTTGGTTATCTTCATAGTTCTGCCTTTTCCAGAATGTCAGGGTATTGATTCATTCAGTATGTAGCATTTTCAGATTGGCTTCTTCCAATTAGTAGTATGTATTTAAGTTTCCTTTATCATATGGTAATAGTGCTAAACCATCTTCCAAAGAGGATATATCATTTAGCATTTCTACCTATGGTAAAGAGCTCTCTCTATTCTACATCCTCTCCACTATTTTATGGTGTTCATGTTTTGGGTTTTGGCTGTCCTGAATCATATGGTATTATTGTTTTGATTCACAATTCTGTGATGACATGATGTTGAACATTTGTTCATATGCTTATTTTCCAATTGTATATCTTCTCTGGGGTGTCTATTCATATCTTTTTGCTGTTTTCAGTTTGTTTTCTTATTGAGTTTCGGTAGTTCTTGGTAATGTTTGTTCATAGTCCTTTATCAGGTATGTGTTTAGCAAATACTTTTTTCCCGGTCTGTGGCTCATCTTATACTCATGATGGTCTCCTTTGCAGAGCAGAAGTTTTTAATTGTTTTTAATTATTATTATTTTTATCAGAAGTTTTTAATTTTAATGATGTCCAATTCATCAGTTATTTCTTTCATGGGTTGTATCCTCAGTGGCCTAAACATTCATTGCTATACTGAAAGTCCTTTGAATTTTCACCTGTCTTCTAGGAGTTTTATAGCATTTTACATTTTGATATATAATCCACTTCTAGTTAACTTTTATGAAAGTTGTAAGATCTATACCTAGATTCTTTTTTCTTTCTTTTGGCATGTGGCCTGTCCACTTGTAATAGTACTATTTGTTGAAAGGTCTATTTTCTGCTATATTGCCTTTGTTCCATAGTCAAAGATCAGTTGATTGCATTTATATTGGACTATTTCTGGACCCACTATTCTATTTGATTGACCTCTTGGTCTGTTCTTTTACCAATACCATACTCTTTTGATTACTGTCATTTTATAGTAAATGTTGAATTTAGACTTTTTTTTTCTTCATTTTTGTATTGACTATTCTGAGTCTCTGCCTTTACACAAAGTTAGTTTGTTGATAGTCACAAAATAACTTCCTGAATTTTGGTTAGAGTTGTGTTGATTTTATAGATCAAGTTGGCAAAAATGGACTTTTGCAGTCCATGAACATCGAGTATCTCTTCGTTCATGTTCTTCTTTGATTGTTTTCTTTTTTTAAGACAAAGAGAGAATTTTAATATTTTTTAGTTTTCGGCGGATGCAACATCTTTGTTTGTATGTGGTGCTGAGGATCGAACCTGGGCCACACGCATGCCAGGCGAGCATGCTACCACTTGAGCCACTTCCCCAGCCCTCTTTGATTGTTTTCATTGGAGTCTTGTGATTTTTCTTATATAGGTCTTGTCGCACACTTTGTTACACTTATGCCTAAGTATTATTTTTTTTACCTATTTATTTCAGATCCCAGTTGTTCATGCTGATAAATAAAACCCATTATTTTCTTATCAACTATATCCTGCAGACTTGCTGTAATCCCTGGAATTCAGTGAAAGTTTTAATAGTAGAAAAAGAGTGAATTCACATTCCATTGTCAGGGTGAAGGAGGGTAACACTACCATTATCTCAATAGATGATAAAATTTAAAACTCACCATCTGTTTAACTAGAAATGGACTTTATTGGGTCTCTGGCCCAATAAAGATATAAATTGTCTACATTGAAGTTAAAAGTGTCCATCCACAGATGATCCCAAAGAGTGAAAAGACACCGAGGAGATACTTCATGCAACTCAAAGGACTACATAAGAAAATATAAATCTTTCCTTTAAGTTAAGAAACGGACCATCCAGGTGTGGTGACACATGTCTGTAATACCAGTTACTGGGGCGGCTAACGCAAGAAGATCGCAAGTTCAAGGCCAACCTTGTCAACTTAATAAGACAATCTTTAAAAGGACTGGGAATGTAACTCTGTGTGGCATAGTACCCCTGGGTTCAATCCCCAGAACAACAACAAAAGAACCAAAATATTAAATGGGTGAAAGACTGAATGGTAACTCACAAAAGAGGTATCTAAAAGACCCATAAAGGAAAGGTATTTATTCTCGGTGTTCAGGGCAATACAGAATAAAGGAATAATTGGATGCCATTACTTGCCTTTTTGTATAGATTATAAAATACACAGAATTTACTACCTTAACCATTTTGAAGGACACAATCCATTCAAAGTGCTGAGAATGTGGACCAAAGGGAACTTTGACTATAGGAGAATTAATCAGAAGCCAGTCTTACTCAGGGAAGCATATGTACATG